ATTTTTGCGGTGTTTGCAGGAGCCCAAATGGTGGCCTTTTTAATGGTTCGGTGCTCATGGATGTGGGCAGTTTCATTCCTCTGTAGCTCCAGCCCAGTTCTAAATGAGAAGAACAGTGCAACAGCTTTCAGAACAGATTGGAGGTCTGTGCTGCAGTCGGCAAACTGGGTGGTGTCCATGTGGCAGTCAAGCTGCCTTATAATATTGGGCAATAAACAAGCAGGAACCTTTCTGATATTTAGCAACTGCACCACAGTTTCTCATCCTTGGGTAAGATTAACCTTAGGTCTGCAAAAACAATAACATATTGAAGAAGAAAAGGTCTGGGTGACTGCCAGCCCCCTTGTCTGGCAATGGAGAGAGAAAGTTTTCATCTGTAAGGGATGTGTTAAAATGCTGCTTGTGTCATGGTTGGGATTCTCTGGCATGTGTTGAGTTAAATATAAATAACATTCTGCAGAGCAGTCAGCTGAAAACTGGAGATTAATTAGGTTTCAGTATTAGGGTTGAAATCTGTTCTTTAGCTGGATCTTCAGACAATAGACTGTGTTGCTTGTGCCTCCACGGGTTTCCGATCAGTCCGTGAGCTTTTCCATGCACTTGTACAACTGCACTCAGGATGTTGGGTGCTCCACAAATAGATGGTTTTGTGGGATTTACCGATAGGTCCTGCTCCTGCTTGTTCTGTGGTTGCTGTTTTGCAAACGGGTCAGGGTATAGCCAAGTTCATCCCAGAAACCTGCAGCATTGCCTGTCTCGGTGCAGAAGGGGCAGCAGTTTGGGGCATGTTAACCACCTCCACCCTTTGCCCCCAGGAGGTTGCTCTCCACTGCCTGATGCACAAGTGCTGGCTATGGCCCTTCACAGCCATACATAGCTTGAAGACGTGGTCTGGAGGAAGCCCCACCGTGGGACAACAGATGGGATTTTGGGAGCAGACAGATCTGCACAATGGAGAGGTGCTCTGTTTAGAGCCGCCTGTGGGCATGCAGACAGGCATGTCCACTCCAACCGCGGCGTCAGCCGTATGCCAGAGCTTAGGGCAGCATCCCTGCTCAAGTAGCAGCTTTGCCCGTATGCAAGTGGAATTATTTGGATGTTACAGTGTGAGAAACAAGAACCATCAGTGTGTGCAAGGCCTGTGGTGTCTGGCTGTGCTTGCTCAATGGGAAGGACAGGGTGGGAAGGCATCTCTATATCTAACCCACTCCTATGGGGAGATATGTCCTTTACACGTCTATGTGCTTGTTTGTCCCTTCTCTTTGTAACATCTGAGCACCTTTTTGTGGCTTATGGCTTTTACCCTGAAGATACATGTGTGATATATGGGAATATCATCCTTGTCTTACAGACAGGGGCTCGCAGGCTTGGAGAAGCCAAGTGCTGCCCAAAAGGTTGTAACGGGGCTGTGCACTGGGCACAGTCAGGTTGAGACCTCCTTCAATGCCCAGTCCACAGGATCAGTGATCCTCAACCTATAGTTCATCTGCAACAGGAGCCCATCAGCACACCACTGCCCGAAGTCATGGGATGGCTGGGAATCATTCACAAGGGTGCCTTCCAAAATTTGCTCTTCAGCAAATTTTCCCATATTCCTTTGAAGGAAAACCTTATGAGGAAATTGAGTTGATTGCAATAGTAAATGCGTTTGAGATGTGGCAATGAACTAAGTGCTCCCGATATATCACTTTTCCCTTTTTGCTGACACGTTCCTGGGTCCCCTGGAGTAAGAGAAGGAAAACAGGAGAGGCGGTTTGAAGAACATGTTGTCCCTGTGATTGACAAGGGGTTGTATAAATCAGTCAAAGGGAATCCTCCAGGCATTCCCTCCTGTGGGAAGATCCCACAGTGCTCCTTGGCCTTGTTCATTCTGTCTCTCGATGTTTGTGTACAAAATGTGTGGGTGGGAGACGAGCTGGATTAGAACCTCCGAGAGGAGCAGACATCAGCTCCTTTAATTGAAAGCAGCTTCCTAGGGAGGGGTATGACATGGGCTTCCAGTAAGTAGACACAAATAGTCCCTGCATACTTTGGAGCAGATACTAAAGCTCCTGTGGATCCCCAGTTGGTGTGCGGGTCTGAGAACCTGGATAAGCCCCAGCGAGTGAAGTTTTGAGTCCTGCGTGATGCCGTCATCCTTCAAAGCAAATGCTTTAGTGTTTGGTAAGACCCTGAAGTGAAAAGTACATCTATTCCTTCTTTGCTTCACAGCTGTCAGGTGCTTTAGCTGCTGTTCTGCATCACTGTAGCAAACTGGAGGATGTTAGAGAATGATTTATTTCTCATAAGCATGAATTTCTAAGAACTTGGAGCCCTGAGGAGAGATGATGTTCTGTCTTCCAAGGCATGGGAACTTCCAGTACCATCTTAAAAGTGGTGGTGCTGAAGTAATAAGCACCTTCACCTTGCTGCCATCTCCTAGGGGCACCTTAAAAGCAGAAGTGTGAAAGACTCTCCCGGCAAATGAGACCTTGCTGCTGTGGTGTGACACTCAATAACTGGGTAGAATTGAGAACGGGATGTGTTTACCACGTGTGTTAGAGCCTGTTGAGATGGTGGAGTCTGTAGGTAGTAGAGTTATCCAAGCAGATTGTTATTACAAAATCTTAAAGAGCCTTTTGGCCATTAGCTGGGTTTAGTAGAGAGCAGGTAGTATAGAAGAGGCTCTTGTAGGTCCTCTTCATGTCATGTCTGTTAGACTTTTCCCACACTTCTCAATCAATACTCTTCTCCTAAAAGAACTTTTTACCCCAGTACCATTTCGCAACACTTGTCTGAGTAGTGATGGAACAGCTTCAGCAGGAGGATGCTTATTGAACCTGCCCAAAGCAGAGGAGCCTATGGATGCTGCACGCCTCAGCTGCACGTGTCTCAAACATAGGGTCTTTATGAGATGTTAGGGTTTTTGCTAATACTCTCAGGCAGAAGCAGAAAGTGCTCGGGTTCACACATGCACACAAATCAAACAAGGCATTTAAAAGTTATCAGAGATTTCCAGCCCCCCTCAGCAGGGGTTTATTTTGGGTTTGAGTCAAACTTTTGGTGAAGGTCTGGGTGATTTCTTAATATAGGTTTTCACTCATCCATTAAGTGGCACTTAAAATACACCAAACGCCAGTACTTTTGTTTCTTTCAGCCACCTTTTTGGACCGAGAGAGCCAGAGGAGATGTAAGAGTAAGAGCAAAATCATATAAAAGTAATGAGACCTTTGTTCATGTCAAAGAGCTCTCTGACCATATAAATTGCAGATGTGGGTAAGATAAATTCCCTAGCTGGAGAGGTATGAAAATAAAAACCATGCTCCCAACACGAGACAGGCTGCTGAAAATGCAAGGAGGGAGGATTGCGAAATGGTACATGTCGAATTGCTGGCCTGGATTTCAGATGCCAAAGATAGTTTATGTAAAGCCTTGCTCTGCTGTAAAATGTAACACTATCCACTGGCTAGCCTCAATGAAGCTTGGTCCCAGTTGTTTAAAAAATAAATAAACTCAAAATCTTCTTCCAGCCCATTAAAGCTGATTTATGTTTTGCCCATAGATTCCTCTGTGCTGGATCTTGAGGGACTCAGATTATAGAAGTGATTACCTCACTTCTAACCAATCTGGTTTCTCATTCCCAGGCATCTCAGGCTTTCTTTGCATTGCCTGGACTTCGCCTGCAGAGACCAACAGAGCAGTTCCATGCAGAACAGCTGGGTGGGCACAGGATTTTGAATGCTTAAAAGCATCTCCATTAATTCTCTTGTTTCATTTCAGGGTTTTCTTTTTGTTTTAATAATGAGGGCAATTGCTTATGAGAACAGCTTTGCTGACAGCACATCACCACCTGATTGCTCAGCTCAGGCTCTGGTCCTGGAAAGAAATCTAAGTGTCTCCAGGAGCCCATAACTCCAGTTAGCACCTAGCACAAGTGGTCAGTCTTGGCTCTCCTGTGGCCAGCTCAACTGCTGGGGATGCTTTGGCCTCTTGAGTTACATTCTCAGCTCCATTGCCACTAGCCTGTGTGACCACAAGGAACATCCTCTATTGCCATGACTCTAGTAAGGACAGTCAGTGAGTTCACCAAAGCGTTGTGAATCTTAACAAGTACCCTTCAGGTACAGCTCAAAGCAGTTGTAACCTTTTGCATGGTGAAAGGTTCCTTCCTCGTGTTTACTGGAAGGATGAAGGCTGTGGTCATGCATGTTTCTTTTTTGAAGAAGCTTTGCTGGGCAATGTGTTTTCAGGGTAAATCCTACCATTTCTTGCAGCTTGATTTGCACGTCTTCCATACAGATGACACTGCAAGCCTCTCTGGTGCTTAGATTCTGACATTTTCTTTGAGTTCCATAAGTTCTTTGAGAAACCATGCCAGCATTTGGGATTCATCTACTTGTTTTTTACTGAGGAGAGCAGTTTGCTTATAATGTCGTTGCTGCCTGCCATGGAAGGTGCTCTAGGTATAGGAAGAAGGTGATTCCACTTGCACAAACTAGCTGACAATACAGGAAACTACACTTGCTTTAATTGGGTTGTAGAGACAGGACTTTCCTGGCTACACTTGCTTCCCAGTTTACATGGCCATCTGTGGCTTCCCTGGGGTAAAATGCAGGTTTAAACAGGGCATTGCTTGAGTACTGTGAAAAGCATCTGCAGGCTGTGTGAGCTGTGAGTTGGTACGTTCAGAAGCGACCGTCACTTTGACTCCAGTGGGAAGAGTCGTGGTCCATTTGGGTGAGAGCAGAGCTGTCCTGAGTGCTGTCAAAGACTTTGCACCAAGTTAAGAGGAAACTGGGGGCTTCCATCCAGCTGCTGGGAGTCTTTAGCTCCTTTTTGATGTTTTAATTTTTTATTGAGGTGGAAATCCTGAAAACTTCACCTTTGACTCATCTCACGGTACTTGGAAACATCATTATTGTGGGTTATTTGATTCTAGCAGTGTACCTGGACTTTAAACACTCAGAATCCTTCCTTACCACCACCTACGTCTGTTTTGGTGTTTCCCTTTTCTCCCACAGACCTGTCGAACTAAGGTGATTGACCTGAATGATGGTGTCTCTCAGTATGCCTGGTATCCCTGCACGGCCAACTTCCAGTACTCCCACATGGCACAGACCGTTTTCTGGCTGAAGGTAGGAAATGCACATGTCTTTCAGAAGTCTTCTCTTTGCCTCCCTAAACAAAGCTTCCCCAACAGGCAAAATAGCATGGGACAGCCTTCACAGAGCCAAGCTACTCCTTGCTTTGAAGCACGGTGCAAAACAGCAAAACAAAGTCTTCGAGCACTGTCTAGAGTGTCAGTGGGGAAGTCCCCTCCTGTGACGAGGCTATTGTGACAGCCCTCCAGCTGCAGGGCTCTTTGACTTGAGTTTAGCATCTACTTTGTGTAGGAGAGATTGGAAGTGAAGATTTCTGTGTGATTCAGCATGGGAATTGTGATGGGAATTGTTACATTACAAGTCCTGGACTGACTCTGGGGGTTTCTTTAAGCCCACCACAGTTCTGCATCTCAGCCTTTGTGGGGCTTTTGTTTTCCCAGGCTTTTTTTTCCCAACCTATGGTAGCCGCAGCAGTCCTGGTTCACTTGGTCACTGATGGGACCTATTACCTGGATCAGAAGCAGGAGACCATCGGTGTGCAGCTGTTTGACACCAAAGAACAAAGCCATGATCTTGGTAAGACTGTATTTAATTAAACTCCCCCTCTATTGCTTGCTTAACCTGCTGGTACCTCTGTTCACAATCTGACTGATATGTCTACCCAGTTTTTCCAGGATCAGACAAAAGAGTAATTGCTAAATGCTCCAAGCCCCGAGTTGCACTCGAGTTTGTTGAAAATGATGCATCATTTTATACAGATGTTTCTCCATACCTGTTCATTTTGTGTTCACTAAGCGATTAGTTCCTCTTCCGTCATTAAAATAAGCACTATTTCAATGCTTTACACAAAGTCTCTCCCTGGAGAGGCATTGGCAGTGATGCAGATGAGCTGCTGGTAGCAGGGAGCGAGGGGCCTGCACCAGCTGCTGCAGCAAGCATGCATTGCAAGGTGTAGTTGGTGGATCTCTAGTCCTGCTTGCAGGAGGCTTCCACAGGTATTTAATGGCCAAAGTTTTCCATGCAAAGTATTTAAGGTCTGGTGAAGGTCTAACACCAGTGCCTTTATGAGGGCCTCGTGGTGTGCCTGGTAGTGTCTGTGGACCTGACAGTTGTGCTGAAGTGCCTCCACTGTGGGCACAGGTCCCTGAACCTGGGAAAGTTGTGTCTGATGAATTGATTCTGGCTACGTTAAAGTGCCGGGACCAAGGAGCTCACCATAGCTTCCAATTCCATGTCAGGCCAGGACTCACAGATCCCTTTCCAGCTGTTCCCTGCTGTTTTTTCCACTGGGAAGAAAACTGGCCATGTCACTTTGTTGGGTTTTTAAGGGAAGATAACCCACCTCTCCCAGCATTCTGTTTTACCATAACTTGGCAATTTTGACATGCTGAAACTCAAATGAACTTCGTGCTAGTGATGAGAAGAAGGGACACACACAGGTGACAGGTACGGATGACTATCCAGGGTGGGGTGTGTAGGAGAGGAAAGAAAGTATGTGTGGTGTTGAATTGACATTCATGGCAAGTTGTGCAGATTGAGTCAGGATAGAGATCCCAGTTTGCCAGAGGCCCTGGATTATTCTCCTCCTCCTTTCACAGAACAGTGGCACATAGCTCTTTCCCTCTGAGAAATAAATGCTGGAGACACAAGCATGCCAACAAACACTTAATGCAGCGTTTTATAGAGACAGACGGAGAGTTTGGGAGAGAAAGAGGAGCAAAGAGGAAACGGAGGGTTAGGTTTTGAAATCCTCAATGAAGTTGCAACATGAGTTTGGCATGGCTCAGCCTGACGCCTGGAGATCTTCACAGCTGAAATGCTGCCTTCATCATGGAAAAGCCCCTCTGACCTTTCCCAGAGGCTGGCCTGGAGCAGAGGAGAGGTGTAGGTAGGCTACCCAGCACTTCTCACCCAAGCAGAGCTCTCAGTCACTGTTTTGTCTGAGTTCTGGCTGTGGCATGAGATGCTTTTCCTGGATATTGTGTTTGATGTGTTGGAATTATTACAATGGTGAGCTAGAAACTGCAGCTGAGATGCAAACCTTGGTATGCCCTGGGTGCAGGATTGACTGCAAACAGTCAGCCAGCCTTAAGCAGAAGTTAGTGGCAAACCAGAAGTACATCCAAAAGGAACTAGCAATAATTTAAAGCTTCATCAGTCCTCAGAGTGCTGAAGACACCCCTATGAGCAAAATGGGGTCTGTCCACAAGTGCAGTTTCCCACCTTGATCAGAGCAAGTTTGTACCAGAAATGAGAAGCTTCTTCTGGGTCTTCATAGGAAATGGAGAGATTAGGGTGCCAAAGACCTCAGTACTGTTAGTTCAGAGCCATTGTGGACAATGAGGTTCATCTGCTTGGTGCTTGCAAGAGCTGTTGAGCATTGAATGGGTGGATATAGAACTACAGAAACAGGGGCAAGCATGGAGGCAGCTCTAACTCCACGGCAGCTCTATATCCTGAGTGGTTTTTGCTAATGAAGGTAGGTTAGCTAAATGAACCTGACCTGCATCCCCTGTTCACCTTGTTTGGGTCAGAAAGCAGCAGCAACTGCAGCACAGCTCTGAGGGTCTGTTTTGGTGTGGACACCACCTGAGTGCAAGGAATGAAATTGAAGTGAATAAACAGCCTCATACCATAAGGTCTTTCTTGGCTTCCCATCAGAGAAGGCAGAAACTTGCAAGGAATTTGGGAACCCGGGATTTCGAGTATTAACTGCACCTGTTTGTAAGTGAGAAACGTGCACCGTTCCACAAGGAGCTGATATCAAAAGGCCTGTGGGAGGCAAGCAGACAGGGAGGTTATTTCAGGGTCAGGTAAAGACCAAAACAAAAAGACGTTTGCTTTTTTATTCTGTATTTTCTTTGCTTTTATTACAGGAAGATGTTTTTAAAGTAGAGGGTGGGAGATGGATCCTTAAAGAGAGTGGTCAAAGTCTGTCTTAATTCACAGGAAATCACTTTCTAAGGAGAAGAAGGAAAACGTTTTTATTCCTTCCTTTTCCAGTCAAGAAACCTGAACTGGGAAAAATTATTAATAATAATAATAGAACCCCCTGAGCCAGTTAAACATGCAAATAGAATTGAGTTTATTTTCACATTCACAAGTGTAGCTGGGAAGCCAAAGGGCCCGGGCCAAAGCCGTTGCTGGGAGCCCCAGTGAAGCGAAGGGAGCTGGAGCCAAGTTGATCCTCGGAGTGATGCCATGGAGCTGTGGAGGCAGGGCTGTGCAGGCAGCCGTCAGGCTGTGAATCTCAATTAATGACTCTTGAGGCCAGCTGACAGCTCTCTGTCCTTCGGGGTACCCCTGCAATTCAGCCTGTTTGAATTCAGGCTGTCTCTACTTGAAGATAGGGTTTTCTTCCCAGCTATCACTAGGTGTCTTGTCTGATGAAGAAAAGGGATCATGAAGACTCCTTGTCACCTCTGGGGTGCTTCTTTGCATCTCAGCCTCTTGAGACACTTCTGTTTTCCTGAGAAACAGTTGTTTTTCTTCTCAAATGAGATCACCTGTAAAGTCCTCAATGGGTCCATCACCCTCGTGTCTGTCTCCAGGACCATCTTTGCCTTTGTTAGCAGAGAGCAAGATACCCTAAGTCTGAAAACCATCAAACAAATCAAAACTGGGCTCACTTAGTGTAGAAGTTTTAACTTGAGTGCTAATGACACACAGAGCTACAAGCAGGCCACTGGTGCCGTGCCTATGGTGCATGATGCCACCCAGCCTGCTGGTACCATTTGATGCATGGTATAAACCCTCCAACTGTCCTCTCAGGACATGGTTTTACAATAGTGTGACTCCCTCCATGCTGGTTGCTCCTGGTTTAACAGAGCACAATAAAGTGGCATAAAGAAACTGCTCTGAGAGCTTGCTGTGATTGTGGAGAGAATGGCAGCCTTTCTTCAGCTGTCTGCAGGGATATACTTCCCTGCTAAGCTCTCCAGAGCCGTTTGGGAAGCCCCTCCAGGCAGCTTACCATAACTTTTCAGCTCTATAGGGCCATTCCTATGGGTGAAATGCTTCTGAAGTGCCCATGGCTCCGGGAAGCAATTGTGTTAAGCCTGACCCTTCCTCTGATCTTGTCTCTCCTCTGGCAGGTGTCCACGTCCTGAGCTGCAGGAACAATCCCCTGATTATCCCCGTCATCCATGACCTCAGTCACCCTTTTTATCACACCCAGGCTGTCCTCATTAGCTTCAGCTCCCAGTTTGTGGCCATCTCCGGGGTGGCCCTGCGTTCCTTCCACAACTTCGACCCCATCACCATCAGCAGCTGCCAGCGAGGACAGACCTACAGCCCAGCAGAGCAGAGGTGAGCCTGTCAGCGAGCTTCCCCCTGCCCCACGCTGCCTGTGCCGGGGGTTAGGAGGAGGCAGGAGGGGCACAGGAGCTGAACCCTGCTGACCCTTTTGTGTGCCTGCTAAAAACCCGGCTGTGTTCTCATTGATCAGGATGGATGGGACATTTAACCCGCATGGGATACTGTTAGTGAATTATTTCCTCTTCCTTTCTCCTCCCTCCTTTATCCCAAGCTTGGAATTGGGGCCAGTTAACTCTCCATACATTCCCCATCACGGCATCATTTTCACCACTCGCACACATCAGCTTCAATCTAAACCTCTTTGTGCTGCTGAAGTGCTGCAGGGACCTCCCACGGGAGACGAAGTGATGCTTGTGCCCCGGCAGGGATGGATCGGACGAGGTGCTCGGCCCCATACAGTGGGTGCTCCGCCACCAGCATTCGTGGTGCTTTTATGGCTGGGGAAGGGCCCTCAGAACCTCTCCGGATCCATCCCACATACTGAAAAGCTCTGTGGGACCCCCCAGGATGAAAGGTTTATGGCTACCGTTTTATTCTTGTTGTTATTACAGACACATCAATAGATCACCACCAACCCCTCTCAGTCTCTGCTTTACAGCATCCCACAGAGATTGTGACCTTTCATGGCCTCTGGTGCGGCAGCTTCATGGAGCCTTTCAGCAAGGCTGTGAAAAGAAGAGGGGAGAATTTAGCAAAACCCCTGAAAGAATCTTTTTTGTGGTCCTTTGTCCATTCAAAGTTGTGAGCAGTCGTCATACCATAGCAGCAGCAATAGTAAAACACGTTGCATATCCCAGCAAACCTCTGCTCAGCCCTCCAAAGCAAGCGGTCAGGCTTTTTGATAATGTTCTGGCTTGGGTTTAGGACCTGCTTTTATTCCAGGAAAAGCAGGAGGGGGAGAAAAGAGGGAGAGGGAAGGGAAAATAAAATTAAAAGACCCTAAAAGAAGAGTCTATCTATAGTTAAATCAAGCCAGTCGGTGCGTTCTGACCTAGATTTGAGGAGGCTGATCAGTCTGTGCAATAGGTTGTATAAATTCAGAGGCCCAAAGACAGCAGGATCAGGTTTCAGAGGAGAAGCTCAACTTGTGGAAGTCTGGCCAAATCCCAGTGCAAGAGCGGGAAAGACCCACTGGAAGGAGATGGTGAGAAGCACCCAGGTGCTCCAGAGGGCTGAGGCACAGGACCACATTCCTCCCTCTCAGTTGTTCAGTAGGAATTGAACCATTTGTTCACTTACGAAATTAGAAGTGCTCTGTGTTTAGAAAGTTATTTCCTTAATAAGAAGTGCATTCCCCTAAGGCAAAGCTTCAGTGAGCCTCTGCAGCCCAGCACACTAACCTTTAAAAACCTCTTGAAGAAGAATCGTCCCCCCTTTGCCTCTGCTTTTTCTTCCTGATGTTTTTCATTGGGCTTGTTTTGTTTTCGGGATGCACTGAACCCTCTCGGCCCCTTTGCTCTCAAAATCACCCCTCAGAGACTCGCTCCTTCAAAGGAACATTTTAGGTCTTGCAGGTTGTAATGCTGGATTGATCATAAAGTTTTCCAGGTCAGTCCAGGAATTAGAAACTCTCTGAAATAAAGCCCTGATCCAAAGCCAACTGGAACCAGCGGGATTTCTTCCATTGATGACAGTGCTATAGTGGAAAACCTCCAGTTTGCCTTGTGATGGAATCAGTTTGGGTGATCATATATGCTTTGTTCTGTACAAGAAACCCTTACGCGGTTTAGGTATCCAAGGTGTAGGGAAAGGTGTGCCTTAAGCTGTGCAGCCCGGAAATAAGTGACACCTTTGCTGTCACCTCCCGTCTTTTCCCTTTGTGATTTTTCCCAGTCCAGGAGTGTCTTAGAAAGAGGGATTTTGTCAAATTTATTCTTAACCAGTTCAGAAGCTGGATGTAGGTTTTCTGCCTCCTTTGCTCATAGTCTCCCCCATCATACTCTTGAGTGCAGTCCCAGCCTTCCCTTCTCCCCTTTCCCTAATGGTTGCTTTTGCCTAATGTTGTTTTTAAGATATTGAATTTTAAAAGGAGCTTTTCTTCCTATATGTAAGCATCAATTTTGCCTCTTTCATTTTCCTTAGGTCAACATGGATGTTTTTCCTACTTTTTGGCTTTTCTCTACTAGAAATATGATTTCTCTCTCTTCAAGGAGAATTATTTTGGTTGGAAAGGATTTGTAGCCACATACAGACACTTCAAGGCAAGGGTGCAGGTTTTCAATGTGGGGAAAAAAAATGTATCAGCCCTTAAGAGTTAACAGAGCTTTATTTTGAGGGTGAATGGATCGCTCCCATGGGTTAGTGACAACCTAATAACTGAAAATAGAACATGTGCTCATTCTTCTTTCTTAAACTAAGTATTACAGTATTTTAGAACAGGAAAAGGAGCCTAAATGCAAAAGGTATTTGATAAGTTGTTGTCCTCAGTCATCGTTAGCCCTTTAGAAAATCCATTCCATCCTTCTGAAGACATTTATAGAGGGTTTGAATGAAAAAAAAAACAACAAAACTCCACTTTCCAGTTGTATTTTCCCAGTTGTTGGGTTCTCTCCTGCAGCTGTCCACAAACAGCAGAAGCTTACCTCACTGCTGGAGATGTGCTGCAAAACCGACACGCTTTGCTTTCACGTCACATCCTTAGATATAATGGCCCCGTTAGTTCTTCTCTTGCACTTTATAGCTCGAATTATTATACCTTTATTATCTCCTATTTAGCCTCATGGAGTGCAGGGTGCAATTGGGTGTGTAGAAGCAGAGATATAACTTCCCCCCCGCAGTCACTCAAGCAGCAAGGAAGGCTCGTGCCTTGGGGCTGCCTTTGCCAGCAATTCCTCAGGAATCAGGTTTTTGTCCTATTCGCTACATAGGAAACATAGAGGGGGGGTCCCATCCCTGCAAGGCAGTTGTTGTGAAGTGCTGCTTTCCCTGGGTGGCATTTCCCTGCTGTGTTCACCACACGTCTCCTCCTGGAAACTGCAGGTGGAAGGTGTGAAAACCCAGGGAGACATTCCCAAATCACAGCTGTGGATTTCAGGAGTTTCCAGCTTCCTAATCCATCATTAGTTCCATGTTCATAATGAAGATAAGCCTCCCTGCCCCTGGAGCAGGCTCTGGCTGACCATAGCCCTCCAGTGTGCATGTCCCAACATTGTGCAGCTCCCTATGCTTCCTAGTCAGTGTAGCAAAAAAGTTTTCCCTTCCTTTGGTTAAATCTTGGCATGAACTCACTGTTATTGCTTCCACAGGGGAGATTTGGGGTTTACCTTCCTCCCTAAGCATGCACATCTGGGCACTTGTCAGCTGGAGGGACCAGCACTGTAGACCGAGACCCACTCTTGGCCAATATGGCATTGCCTACCCTCACCCTGGCCTCAATGGAGGGCCATCTTCCATGCTTCACCCTTTGCTGCCCCAGACAAGCCCTAGGGAGATGTAGCCCACTCCAGCTCTTCTCTTTGTCTTGTTCCCTCCTGCTGTCAGCTTCCCCAACAAGAAATGATGAAGATAAATCTTCAGCAGTGGAACAAATGCAACTGCCCCTTGTAACTGTGGTTATTCTTTCTTTTCATAAAGGGGGGGGGGGGGGGGGGGGGGGGAGAAAGGATTTCCTCATCTCTGGGTTTTTTTTTGGTGAATTAATGCAGCTTTCTCTTTCCCGATCCCGCTGCCTTTCCCCTGCCCTGTGTTCTGTCATTAAGCGCAATCTCTGTCAGCTTGCTCCTGGTGAAATTAATGAATTTCTCACAGAACTGTTAATCATAGAAGCTTTGGTCCGTGACATGTGTTATAATTCAATGGGCTTTTTAACCTTCGCCCCAGTTTGGTAATTGGCAAACGGCATCATTTGGCTTTTATTAAAGTGGAAGGCGATGTGTTCTCTTTGTTTGCCTGGACAGACTCTGGCAGGGAGACCTGCAGGGCTGCTAACGCCCAGGCACACACAGTCCTGCTGTAAGGGTGAAGGGGCTTTGGGAGCTTTATCAGTTCAATATGGACCCCCCCCTCCCCAGGCAGGAATATGGCCCAAGGCAGGGTGCAGGCAGGCTGAAGGCAGAGCCAGTCCCAGGGACAATGTTGTTGGTCTGGTGGTGGGGACATCCTGGCTTGTGCCTCTTCTTCCCTCACAGTTTACTTTGTGTTGGATCAGGTGTTTTCTGTAAACCTCTGGGTTTATGCTCATTCCTGACCCTATCAGTTTGAATTCGGGTTTTGCTGTGATTGCTGGCAGAGTCAGACCCAATGCTACTGCTGTGAGATCACTGAAGGGACCAGAGAAGGGACCATTGCTACTCTTTTGGTCACTCCAATGGACCAAATTTGAAGGCAAACACCTAAAAAGGACTTGATCCTTCTTCCAGTGGCACAGTCAGCAACAGGTCCACCGGTCCCCATCCAGCCCCAAGGATTCAGGTGGTTGTTCTTTGAGGTTTTGTGTTAGTATAAGGGGACCAATGGGTTTAAGCTGAAGACTGAGGAAGAGAAATTCATTGCCCCCTTTGTAGTTCAGACTTCTTTCATTTCTACAACAAGGAATGTGGCTAGCAGCCTTTGTTTTTCAAAAGGCTGCATATATGCTTGGATTAGAGATAGAACCTGCTCTTGCCTTTAGAGAAATCTCTACGGAGGAAAAGGCAAACCCATTTTAAGGATAGATCTGTTAGATAAACCCTCAGAAGGCTACGTGTGTGTGAGTTGTGTGTATGGTGGCACAGAACAAAACGAAGGTGTGCTTCAGATCTGCAGCCCAGCCTAGCCTGGCCTGCGCAAAAAGGAAGCTTTTCCTGTGTACAGTAGATAAGGGTGTGGCGATTCTCATAACAGCTATATACTATGGGCTTTTAGTCTCTCCTATGCATATATACTCATCTTGAAGGGAACAAACAATTAGGGCTTTATGTTAAGATGAGTTCTTGGAAAAGTGCTTGACCCCAGGGTTAGGAAAAGAAAGTTTGGCTGCTGTAAGCTTTTCGAAAGAGGAAGTCCTGGCTTGGTTTTATGTGAGGAAGGAAGAGTTCCACTTAATTGTTATAATTCTCTATAAACATGTTAAAATACAAATGTTTCTAGGATTGTGTCACTAAGACCCCAATTTAGCAAAGCCTTTAGCTATTTGCTTACATCCCCTTGTAGCCAAATCTATCAGTGGGACTTAACCGTGCTTTTGAAGTTAAGCACATATTTAAGTGCCTTGCTGAATTAAAGCCAATATTGGCACAGAGAAATAAAGATTTAGAGGCTAATGACTGAGCTCATTTAGATTAGGGATGGGCAGAATGGATGTGAATAAAGCAAGAACTGGCTCAGAACCTTAGCCTACATGTGAAGCTAACTCAGTTGAGGGTTTTTTTACATCATGGAAACCCAGTAGAATGCATGCAAGAAATCCACTACTCCTTGCACTCAGCTCGGTGTGAAAATGCTGCTTTAGGCAATCATACACTACCAGGGCAAGAACAGGAATCGGTGAATCCTGAGGTGGACCTCATATAATAAACACTGTGAAGGAATATCCCAGGCACCAACACTTGTTTGTTACATATATATCATAAATCATAAAGGTGGTCCTTGGGTCCCTTATATTGCTTTCATCCAGATCAGATCATGCACAGGGAACCAATTCCCAGGGACATTTGGGAAGTTAGGCTAGATCAGGGATGATTTGAAATAGGCAGTTTTGATGAAGTCACACAATTCTGGTTGCAAGAAAACGGGATAAGCTGTCCCATGCCAGGAATTAGCATGAGTTGAAGGAGAAGTGATTTCATTCTCAGATACTCTATATTGTTTCTTTCTTGAGGAATGCATAGCTTCTGGAGCATGTGATGATTAACCACTCTTCAATGGCAGTACCCATGCACGAGCTTCTGTAACCCACAATTCTTCAACATGGATGTGATGGGCTCTTTGTCTAAACTTCCTACTTGGAGATATTCATTTCTCCTTGGTCATTCTGTGTTTGCAGAACTCAATTCAAGATCGTGACTTCAAACTTCATTGGGATTTGCAGCTGACAGTAGCTGATACCAAATTGGAAGCAGTAGCTAGAGAACCAGAAGTATTTAAATTGGAACCATTTGGTAGCAGTGGTTGTTTTTTTACTAAAAGTGAATGGTTGTATTGTTTGTCACTGAAGTCATTCATATAGAGTTACAGACAGAGAGAGCTGCCCAGATGATCTACTAACCGAGGCATAATCTGGAGCCTGGAGGGGGATGGCTAAAAATGTTCCCTGGCCATGTAAGAAGACCACAAGGGGACTTGTAAACAGACAGAAGAACATCACAATAAGTGTTTCTTAATGCCTTTGTCTGTGGCGTTTCAGTTCTGCAGGACTTTTAAGACCAGGCTTGCTCATCTGGTGTCCTGATATGAACTCAAAAAACCAAATTCTTTTTCTCCTTTACATTGATGGCAATGAAAAGCAATGCCACTGACTGCGGTGACGTTGCTCCACATCTCCCTTTGTGCAAATCGCAAAGGTTTCCTTAGGCTTATCCTACCCTCTGAAGCCATTCAAGGCTGAATTCAGTGCTACATCAATGTGTAGCACATTGATTCCCATCAGTATTAAATTAAATAGGTCTGCTATTATTTTATTTTTCCAACTTTAGCGCAAAAAGGTTTTCAGATTTTGCGGGAGTTTTGCAATGGGCAGTCAAGGTTCGCAATATGTACTTCTGAGAATGGCTTGGCAATTGTCCTTGCCTTTTTTTCCCTCAATGAGTCAACTTCCTCATCACTGGAGCCCTGGCACTGGAGCAACTCGTATTGCAGCCTCACCATCTGAAAAACAGAGGGGAGCAAAGTGGCAGCCGTCATAGGGAGGTGTAACTGGAACACGTAGGGAAGGTTCAACAAGACGTCATTCATGGTTTATGCTCTCATTCAACATCCATGTTCAGATATTCCTGCTGATGTTGATTGGTGACTTATTCAATAGCAGTGCTGTGAGGTGAGAGGTAGGGTACTGCTCTGCTCAGGGAGCCACAGCACATAAGGCTGCCTGGGGGGCTGCTGCCCAAGTCAAGTTTGTGTTCCACACTCCTGAGTGATTCATGTTGGGCATCTAAAGACAGATGCAAATGGGTGTTCTCCTCATCTCACTTCTCTGCAAGAGACTACCTGCACACTAGCATATGCTGTCCACTTGTTCTTCTTTAGGACAAGAGGTAACAGCTTCAAGCTGCACCAGGGCAAGTTCAGATGGAGCTGAGGAACAATTCCTTGCCCAGAGGGTGCTCAGGCATTGGAACAGGCTGCCCAGGGCAGGGCTGCAGTCACCATCCCTGCAAGTGTTCACACAGCTTGGAGACGAGGCCTCAGTGCCGTGGGTTAGTGGTGGCCTTGGCAGGGCTGGGGAGCAGTTGGACTTGATGAGCTTAAAGATCTTTTCCAACCTGGTTGATTCTGTGATTCCACCATCGCATCCACAGTCTTATGGGTCAGTGCAAAGTGAGATCCATGGCAGTGTAAATTTGTATGTCAGTCAGTGGCAGTGTCAGGAAAGCATGCATGAAACCCTTGGTATGGGGCAGGGGTGATCCTGCTGACAGCAGGATGCCTGTGTAGGTCAGCTCCAGCAGAGGATCATCTGTCCTACAGAAGTAATGAGCATCGCAGTTGCAGTGCTGATAGATGGGGCGCTGTTTGTTGCATAGAAGGGTATCAAGTTGGCCAACACAGAAGTGGAATTCTCCTGCCTCAGGCCTGTCAGCGGCAATACTTTGTGCACAGTGAGGAAATAAGATCTTTCTGAATGTAGAAATTGTTTATGGCTCATCACACTCCAGGGAAGGGCTGCAGTGAACAAGCAACCTTAAATCACAAGCAGCGGGCACTTCCCATATAGCACTGGTCTGGGACAGAGCAATGAGTTGTGGAGGTACATAATACTGTCATTTAATCTGATCTAGGGCTCAGTGGAGACATGTGCAGATGTGCTTCTCTATCAGTAACATGGGGATAACAATGCCAGCCCAGGTGTCTCACTGGGGTGCAATGAAAATTAATTAGATAATGTCTGCACAATGCTTTGAACACAGCAAAACATCATGGACACGCTAAGTCCTGTGCTTACTAAGGTGGATGGGGTTTTTATGGCTGTTAATGCTTTTTCTAGGAGGCAGGAATAGCTTGCTTGTAATCCCTTTCAAAATATGTGTATTGATGCATTGTTTTCCCTTCCTTCTGTAACTTTCTGTGTTCCAGCTTCTTCCCTATCCATGCAGATGGTGAAATAAATTGAGGTTTTCCCTCCTCCAAATTAATTTAACTGTATTTAAATCAAGCTCATTTTAATTTTCAGGAGAGGCAAATAATCTTGTAGAAATCCTTATCCCAGAGATTTTGTCTCTAATCCAGCAAAACATCCTTGCACATAGAATCATAGATTAGTTTGGGTTCGAAGGGACTTTTAAAAGCCATTTAGTCCAACCCTCTACCATAAATAGGGACATCTTCAACTAGATCAGGTTGCTAAGAGCCGAGTCCAACCTGACCTTGAATGTTCCCAGGGATGGGGCATCCACCAACTCTCTGGGCAACCTGTGCCAGTGTCTTACCACCCTCATTGTAAAAAATCTCTTCCTTGTATCTACTCTGAATCTACCCTTAAGTGCTTTAGGACTCTCAGCATTCTCATTGCCCTTTAGCTGAGGGACATGTGCTGCAATGTTTGATTCAGGTCATCAGAGACGGTGAAAGATTTTGTGTCAATCAGACATCTCTGTGTATACAAAATAAAGCGAAAACCTCTCTTTACAACTTGTGCTTAATGCTACAGTAATTAACTGTAGGGAGAGCAGTTTTCATCCAGGAAAACATTTTATGGATGGCAGGACAGCAACTGGAGAGATATGAAGTGGCAGCTTGCTGCTGAGCTTGATAAGAGCTTATCAACACAGCTACACAGCTGATGTTTGGTGTTCCTCGTGAAGTGGAATGAAATGAATGTGTTGATTTCAATCGAGTTTCTCATAGATAAGAGTGTCTATCACAGAACCCCCTCCTCACACGTACACACATGCACTCTTATCACTAGAACTATCAGGCAGTCCTGAATTCAGCTGAGATTTAAAATTGGATGGAGCATAAGGACTGTTCTTGGAGGGAGAGGGTTTTTGTGGGATGGATGGATGGAGGGAGGGAGGGAGGGAGGGAGGGAGGGAGGCAGGGAGGGATGGATGGATGGATGGATGGATGGATGGATGGATGGATGGATGGATGGATGGATGTTGGATGGATGGATGGATGTTGGTACAGGAGTAGGAAAGCCACAGTGCAGTTGAATATTTCAGGACAAAAGGCAACTGTGCAGAATTGGCAATTGGCAGACTTTTCCCTTTTGCCACAATACCTGTAATTTGCTTTGTTATCATCACCATTACCAATGTCCCTGTCCTGAACACATAACTAGAGCGTTGCTCCTTGGTGAGCTGGGTTCAATATGCAGCCTGTGTACATACTGTGGGACAAGTGATGGGTTTGTCAGTCAGGCACACTTGCTTTTATGGAATGAATGAAATGAACTGACTGAAAATACCACTTCTTGCCTCCCCCCAGCTGTGTCCACTACTCCTGCGAAGCCACCAACTGCCAGAAGCTGGAGATTGAGCATGCACTGCTGGATTGCTCCGGTGGCGGGTGGTACAATGGGGCCCAATGCAACGTGAGCTGCAAGGCGGGTTACACTCTGCAGGTCCAGCGGGATGATGATCTCAGCAAGAACCAGGTTTGTTCTGTCGGTTTCTTGTCACCCACAAAGCAGGGATGAGCAAAGAGATGTGAAGAGATTGAGAAATAAGTGAGTGTAAACCCCAAAATCTCAGCTCAGCCCTTGGGATGGGGCCTTACCCAAGTACTTCTCATCAGAATGGGAGCCATCTGACTGTGTAGGAGGAGGGACTGACAGTGAGCAAAGCTCAGATGTCCCCCAAATTTAGAAGTTTTCAGCCCAAAAGGTTTAAGTATGTGTTCGGGCCTTCTTTGATCTCACTGGTTTTACTCAGCCAGTGTTTCTTAGGTTGGTTTTGGGGGGTGGGGTGTTTGTGGTTTTGCATAACCAGTTTCTGGGCAAAATACCTCATTTTGTCCCTTGGGTTGAGGCTAACAATGTCTTAACTCCTTTGCAGGGTTTCAGTCCATCTGCTCCCAACCACACCCTGACACTGCAGAAATGCATGGGAGCAAGGGGGTTGAAAAAGCACCCAGACCCCTTTGCTTCCAAACAAAGCATCAAAAACCTACTCCCAGTGAGCCAGGGAGTGCTCCCCGCCTTCTCTAAGTCATGCATTAATAATCCAGTCCTACCAAAGCAGCATGTCTTGATGCAGTGAGTGGGATATTGAGGAAAACTATCAATTTCTTCAAACCTTAATATAAAATGCAGATCCTTTGTGCTGGGGGAGGTGGATGAGGTGTATGTGATGAATGGCGCACCCTTGGCATGCCATTGGGAGCAGGGTTCAGGGCAGACACCCCAGTCTATGAGCAGGACACGGGGGTGGTTTCCCCCATCTTCTCACATGTTGTCTGGGCAGCACACACACATGTAGGGCTGGGAGGGCTGGGGCAGGCAGTGTGCTCAGCAGCCTGTCTGTATTTGTGTTCTTCATGAGCTCACAGAGGAGGGAGCCAGAGTGGAGGGGAATGAGTCAGCCCTTTCAACTCAATTACAAAACAAATACAGGACCCTGCGAGCTGGGCCTCTTCCATCCTAATTGGCATCAGCACCAGAACCCCAGCTCCAGCTGAGCATTTTTACACAACAGAAAACAAGTTCTCAAACAAGCCGGAATGGCTGAACCAGGAAACACTTGGAAGGGATCTGTACATTGAGCACACGGGAGTCCCAAACCAAATAAAACAGCCTAAACATGTTACTTGCGTTCAGAAAGCACCTTTTGGAGATGCTCAGCCAACTGTATATGGTTTTGCTCTGAGAAGTTTGGTTTCAGAGCCTTGATCAGACTCATGTGACAGGAGTGGAGGATTTTAGCACCCCTAGCTAACGTGATTCACTGCCTATTACAACATGCTTCCTCTCACCCTGGTCTACTATTGCACTTCATCGTCTTTTTTCCACCAATAAAACCCCTGAGGCCGATGGTTTTGTTTTGCAAGTGGAGCATCTTAAAGACATCCGTGTTCAGCTGAACACATTAAACACATGCTTTAAAAAAGTATACTCATGTGCTTTGGAGATCTGTTGAAAAGGAACAGACAGTTTCTTTCACTATCCTCTTTTTTTTATGACTTTGTGTCAGGTGCTTCAAATCAGAACTTCTGGAACATGTAGGCAAGCAATTAATTATCCAAGAAAGTCCAGAATCCATGGCTTAGATTCCTCATATTGTGTTGTATCGAATTGCATTGTGCTCCTTCCACAATTCCTTCAGCTCCTCTTCTGATCACAAGCACTTGGAGAGGAGATAGGGCATTGTGGGTTGTTATCTATGGTCAGAGGGGCCTTCTGCTGTGATTGAGGGACCTTGTGCTGATTGTCGGTTGTTTCACTGTTGTCATTCAGCTGAGTAGTTTGCTTGTTGGACTGATTTGAGGATCTAGAGCTTGTTTTGTCTCATTTAACTGACAGCGTGGGAGGCTACATGAGGAAGAGGAGGAAGGAAAGCAGTTCTGCTGATGTTTCACATTCTTGGGTAGGAAGGAGGCTGAGGTGAGGTGCAATGTCTCAACGAGCAGACTGAACATCAGCAGCCCATGACCACCACATGCTGATGAAGATGACACCCTGGTTTAGCATCTGAACCGCATTTGTCTTCTGTATTTCACCGAAAGGCAGAGGAAAAAGGGGTGAACAGAGAATTAAAAGCAAAAGTTTCAAAAGCACCTCGGAGATGCAGGGGCACAAGTCACATTTCAAATCAGCCTTTTACATCTGAGGGGGCTTTGAAAATCTTCTTAACAGTTTCTGCACTTTCTGGCCTCTGTGTCTTCTGAAGCCACCATTTTAATCAGGCTTAGGGCAAGAAATTCATTCATCTCTGCTCTCGGAGAAGCTCCCATTCCAAATTCTGTTCAAACTCCATAAAATCACCAAACCCTAAAACCCATCAGCACCATGTGCAGGAGAAACTGTTCGCAAATACAAAAAAGCTGAGCTGTTTGCAGGCTCTTGGGCTCTCTCATCCCCATTGAGGGACTTCAGCAACAACACGAACGAAAAAAGGTTTTCATAGAGATGGAGCAAAATCCTTCATGTGCCTTTCTCACAAAGAAGATCTCAGGATGTTTTCATTTCCCCCCGATTCCTTCCCACCCCCCTGACAACTCCAATGCTCTTTCTTCTCTTCTTCCCTTTTTCCCTCTTTGTCTTTCACTGCTCTCCTCTTGTCCTTCACTGAAAGTCCCGCTCATTCAGTTACTTGTTGTCATCTCTCCTTGAAGCTACCACCACTGCTGCTCTGGTCAAGAGGTGTTATTTAAAACCCAGCAGCTCCCTAATGTTGTGCAAAGGCATCATCAATCATGCCAGGAAAAGAAAGCACGGCTCATGTGGGTTCAATTAGAGGCACAGTAGTGGGCAGAAGTGGAAGAATACTTAGAGGGGAGGGCACAGCTGTTCATTTTTAAGGAGAGGAAACTTCACACGTGAAACATCGCTGGAAGAAGGAGCCGGCTGGGATCTTGGGCAGCAGGAAGGAGACACGAATTCTCCCAGGCTGTTAAAAGTCCCAAGGAACAAATCTTTCTGGCACCAGATTAGTTTAAGTTTGCATCCTCTTCGCTGTATCTTTGGAGGCCCTTTTTGTCCTCTTTTTCTCCTCCTCGCCCGCCCTCCCTCCTTGCGTAAGGTTCTTTTGGAAGGCAGGACATGAAGGGAAGCGGTTGCTGTGATGCCAGTCAAAGCAGCACAGAGTGCCCAAAGTGACAGCTAATAAACCAGATGAGAAAGCCAAGCGCTTCGTGTGGACTGCTGTGAGCTGGGTGACCTTGTCAGATCAGACAGGCGAAACAGGCATGTGCCTGCTCAGGCTTCGGGTGGGAGATCTGCAAAGGCAGATGCAGATGCTGCTGCTAACACCCAGCACTGCTCGGGCCAAGTAAACTGGAAATACCGCTGAGGTTCAGCGCGGTGTTGGGGAGAGATGAGCTCCGGCTCAGCAGCCTGGGGCCCTGCCCCTGGGCACTGCAGTGATCCCACCTTCAGGTGGGACATCACAACAGGGACAAGCTGAAGGCTGGTGAGTGCCATCTGCAATGATTTCCATGGTAGGGTTGTCCCCTGTGCTTTCAATCAAAGCCACTGGTCTTTGTCTCCATTGCGGGGAATGTTCTGTTATGTTCTGCTGCAGAAGTGCATGTGCTCCTATTGCTTGAAGTGATGACATGATAGACATGCTCTAAAATGCACCATTATTATGTCTGACCTTGAAAACCTCAGCTTCCATCATACAAAGTGTGGAACAAATTACTGGGAAAAGCTGAGAAGCCAGGATCTTACCCACACAGGCACAGCTCCTCTATGTGGGAATGGCCTTGCCAGTGTGCTAGGAAGAGGAAAAGCCATATGGGTTTGGAAGGAGGGGACTCCTCCAGATTTGGTTTAGTGTTTTTGTTGGGAAAGTACCATAGGGCAAAACCCCATGTTAGCTTTCTGCTAAAAAAGACCACGGCTGCAGCTGAAATAGTCTCACAAATGTTTGCTTGGCCCATTTTCCATGAGCTGTGACTCTCATGCACAGATATTGCTTCTGTTTAAATGGTTGTGTTGCATTCCAGATCCTGAATTTGCACCTTTTATTTGGTGTTCTGTAGAGGTGCATCTGATGTGCAACCTTATCATCAGAGAAACTCCCTTGTGCACCATAGTGTGTCTCAGCAGCCAGTATCAGCTGGCAGGAGCTATCATTTATTCCTAAACTAGATCACACCAACACCAATAACTGAAACCTCCTATCACTTCCTTGTGCTTAGTGTGGATTCAGCATCCAGCAAGATCCAGTGCAAGACCCATGTCTTTCCCATCACATTTGGATAGCCCCTGGCATCAGTAGCTTGGGTTTATGTTTTGACCTCCCGCTGCTGAGGTGCTGGAGTGTTATTTGATGATAGCATCTCTGAAGGGAAATGGAGGATTTGCTGAATGCTGGGGCAGCCGAGCCTGGAGTGTAGATGTGGTGGTGATGCTGTGCGTATGCATTATGAAGACATGGAAATACGCTGTGTCATCCCTTCTGCTGTGGCCATCACACCACAACTTCCTGGAAGCACAGTCATCTTCCAGTTATCAACTGGCTACAGATTATATATATTCTTTAATGGTGCAGGTGTTCTGATTGGCAACAAAGGCAGAACTGATAGCCACCAGCAACAAAGGCAGAACTAATAGCCACTGGGGAGCAAAATGAGTGGGAATGAGAGCACAGAGTGTCCCTTCACCTGAGCGCGCCGGGAATCCCTGAATGTGCTGCTCTGAGTTTGCAGAAACAACATTTTTTTCCATCAGCAGTGCTCCTGTTTAAATAAACTCCACGGTCTAGAAAAGGGGTTTTGTGCCCACTGGGGAAGTGTCCAGTTTCTCAGCTCTGGGACTGCTTTTTCCATTCTGCATGCAACCATATATCAAAGGGAGACAGGTCTGAACTTCTGTTGGAACCATTAGGGTGTTTTTGCAAAAAGGGAATCCAGGTCCCTTTGATGTGTGCTAGAAAAATTCCCCTTCCTTTTATAAACCCAGATCAATGGTCAGCGGTGCAAATCTCCCGCGAGCCTACCAGCCCTGAATAAGATATTCCCTGGAGGCAGAGCAGTGCTGCTGTACAGCTCGCTCAGATTCCTCGATGGTATCTTCCCCTTCTTGTGTTTGGGTTTCTCACATTCTTTTTTCTTCTGTCCTTCTCTTTATTCTGGTGTAGAATCAAGGGTCTTGCTTTGAGATTCTTCACTTCTGGTTGTTAATTTTCCCTTTTTAATTAGGAAATAGACGTGTTGTTTGGTCTCTTTGTCAACATGTTTGTCCTTTGGTTACCCAGTAAATTCTTCATCTTAGCTTTAGATGGCTTCTTTACCACCACCACCACCACCACCACCCCCCCACACCTTATTTTCTCTCTCCCTAGCACTTCAGGATTTCAATCTGCTGCATTAGAATCATAGAATAGTTAGGATTGGAAAGGACCTGAAGATCATCCAGTTCCAACCCCCCTGCCATAGGCATTGGCACCTCACTCTAAACCATGTCACCCAAGGCTCTGTCCAACCTGGCCTTGAACACTGCCGGGGATGGAGCATTCACAGCTTCCCTGGGCAACCCATTCCAGTGCCTCACCACCTTTACAGTAACGAACTTCCTCCTCATATCCAGTCTAAACTTCCCCTGTTTAAGTTTTAACCCGTTACCCCTTGTCCTATCACTACAGTCCCTACTGAAGAGTACCTCCCCAGCATCCTTATCAGGCAATTCCACTGGTACAGATCATCCTCTGTAATAGATAAGAAGACATTGAGTGCTTTATTAGCTTTCATAGTCCTACAAGCCTGTTAGTGAAGATTAACAGAGCATAATAATGTTTGGACTATTCCTTAAATCCATAGCAATGTAGCCTCTGTGTAGCTATGGTGTAGAGAGACTTTAGGGAAGTCACAGCACAGGCACTGGCTCTGTATTTGACCTCTCAAGTGCCAGGTAAAGGTATGCGCAGGATGCTCTTGGGTCTCTCCATTGCAGGTCTCTCCAGGGAAAAGCCTGTCTCCTTGGGTATTTGGGTCCCCAGTGCCAGGACAGCAGGGTCCTGGTTTCGTTTGGAGCCTTGGGGCACTCTGACAGTAAAAGCCATAGCAGCTGTCAGTACATGAACACAATGTTGACACGGCTCTGGCCACCTCCCTTGGTACCCCAGTCCAAGGGTGACTGACACCTCCTGGGAGAGCCTCAGATGGGAGTCCCAAATGGGTTCATGTCAGGTTGGCTTTTACTTCAAACCCAAGAGCGAGTTCGACTTCTGAGAAGTACACAGGGATCCCCTTGGTGTGGCTGTGTCACTGCACAGTGACAGGGACCAGGGATGGCTGTCAGCTCCAAACAGCTCAGCCAGCTTCCTGGCTTGTCTCAGGAGGCAATGCAGACAAGAGTTCTGATTATTTGTAGTGCTCTGCTGTTTATATTGAAGAGCTTTGGTTTCTCACCCCAAGTGTGACAGAAATCCATCCTGGTTCTCTGACACTCTTGTAGGAACTTGTATTTAGTAGCTGCTGTCCAAGCGGTGATGGTAGAGGTCAGACCCAGCGTTGCTTAACTTGTGGCCACATTAATGGCTGTTACTAGGCTTGGAATGGTTTTGATCTTGCTGGCTCTGGTGGCTGTAGGCATATGTCTTTTTCCAGATGGAGTCCAGCATCACCATGACTTGCACGGATGGGAAGTGGAACAAACAGGTGACGTGCGAGCCTGTGGATTGTGGTGTCCCAGACCAGTACCATGTCTACCCAGCCACCTTCAACTGCAGCGAGGGGACCACCTTTGGCAAGAAATGCTCCTTCAGTTGCCGACCTCCTGCTCTTCTGAAAGGTATCAGAGGCTGTCTATGCCGTGACCTGGGGAGAACACTGTTAGCGCAGACTGCTCCTAGTAATCTGTGCAACTTCTGCTGTTGGTTTAGAATTATTCGTGATATTTTAAGTATGGAGAATTATGAGACTCTATGGGAAGGTTTATTTATATTAGAAGTTAAGTTCTTTTGCATCTCTCTATTACCTTCCTTTGACCTTTCCTTGATCAGGGCTGGCCAGGCAGTAATGACAGTGAATATTACTTCCATACAACCAAAACATGGAAAAGTCATGGGGATAAATCAAACTGAACTCTCTCATCTTCTTTCCCATGCCTTCTCTCTTCTGTGTCTATCTCTCTTTTATGTGTCCTCCATGTATTTGGAAAGGCAGGAGAAGACTGAAAAGTCCCATGTCCCAGGGGCACCATCCCCGTCACTGTTTTTCCTAATCCACCCTATTACCTCTCTCCTTTTCCACACTCATCTTGCTCTCCCTCTGACCTTTCTCTCCTCTTCTTGTTTGTGACTCTCTACAATTGTTTATTCCTTAAAAATAACACACTCCGCTGCCTTCTTTCCTTTCCTCCGCCACCTTCTTCCCTGCTGCCTTTCTGCAAGCATCCCCATCATTCCCTCAGCGCTATCAACTCTCCTGCTCACTGGCACATTACCCTTTTTGATCTGGTCCTCAGGAAACACAAAAAGATTTCATTGCTCATTTGAAAGAACTTTACAGCCAAATGAACTTGTCATCTTGCACTGGAGTAATCTCAACTGCTGTTGCCAACCCAGGTACAAAGGCTGTATAAGCTGTTCTGTACACGTGGTATCACCTTTTCTGCTAGGATTCATTGCAGATCTCCAAAGAGGCATGGGAAGTATTTTTCATTTCAGTGAAGGGATATGTTGATTTCTTCATATATAACTAAATTGCTTAATTCTTTTACCTCTGATTTAGGAGGGTAACCACAAGCAGCCACCACACAGTGAAAGTTAAAACTACTTAGATGGAGATTTCTATCAAAGAATTCCCTTTTTCTGTTCCTAAAGGTCATCTTCAACAAGAGGTGTTTTTTTTTCACTGAAAATGCCTGGAATTTTTTGAGGGCAGCAGTGCAAACAACGACACTCATCATGACCAACAACAGCTTTAGCTGATGACATTGATGGGGGGAGCTGGAGGGATGATAGCCAACCCCCTGGCGAGGGTGTGCAGCTCTGGTGTGTAGGATCACTACCCTTTTGTCCTGAAACCCTGTGAGCTGTGAGGTAAAGGCACCATTGGGTGTAGAGCCATGGGTGATGACTAATAGATGTTGCCACTAAGCTTCTGGAGAATGGCGTTGGAGTGACTCATGCCTAATTCAATCACTGACGTCATGACAGCCACTGTTGGTAATGTCACAGCTTATCACTTTGCAGTGGCAAGTATGATATCACCGTGGCTGGTCTGCAGAGCTGCTGCATGAGTCAGAGCAGAGGAGCATGCTGGTGCTCTAGAAAAGAGCTCCCTTCAGCACAGAGTGCCTCTGCAATCATCTGCAGTTGGGGAGGGGAAAGAGAAAGCCAGGCCTGATTGAATGCAGCTTCTCTTATCTTTGTGGGTAGGGCAGGAGGGCTCCTCTACATACCTTCCTGAGCCCTCCAGAGCCTTTTGTTTTCTTCTCCTTTGAATTCCAGTCTTTTCCTTTCCTCTCGGAGAGATGGCATTGCTCTGGGGTTAGCAGTTTGTCAGTATTATTTGGGATAACTCCCGAAGTTGGCTTAGTGTTGAAAATATGCCTTGTGGGTTGAGAAGAGTTCCTGCAGCAATGCTTGGGGATTTCAATAGAGTATTAGGGATTTTTGAAGGGTTAGTGGCTCATAGCTGTGCTTTGTTTCTTAGGAAAAGCTTATTCCTTTTCAACATACAATATAAAATAACAAAGAATGTAAAATACACTGAGACTAGGCTACTTTTAGCTTAACCTTCTGAAGTCAAGTAGGTCATAGCAGAGGCAAATAGATCTATTGTACCTTTTACCTTTGAGGTGCTGGCCAAGAAAGCTTCCTAAGGAAAATGAGTCTCTAATGAGTATTAGAATCGTATTTATCACAGTAGTCCCCAAGGACTGACTGTCCCCAGCTGAGAATGGCTCCTCATTGTGTTGGAGTAGTGACTCTAATACTAACAGATGCTGCTCAAAGAGGCTCAAAATTGAAATAAAAAGGACAGATTCAGGGAGGAGATAGAACACAGAAGTAGAATGAAGAATGTAATGGAACCAAGTGCTCTGTTAATGCCATGACTTTGGAGAGGAGGGGGGTGATGTACGAAGCAAGCTTCATTGCAGAGAAGAACAAAAATAAGGAAGAGAAACACAAAAGATTACAAAGACAGCATGGTTTCCCCTATCCTATAGTGTTTCCTGAAATGAGCACTGCCTGCCTGTCATCTGAAAACAGAGTCCTTAATGATTTAATGCCATCATAGAGAAAATGCATGACATACACAGCTGAATTTGTCAACCGAGGTGGCTTTTGATGTATTATGGGTGTAACAACATGTCAGAAAGATGGTCCTGCTGGACGTTGTTCACTTGGCTCTCTGCTCTTCTCAGGAAACAACAGCAACTTGACCTGCATGGAGGATGGGCTGTGGTCCTTTCCGGAGGCCCTCTGTGAGCTGATGTGTCGAGCACCCTCCATTGTCCCTAATGCAGATCTCCAGACAAGTCGCTGCCGAGAAGATAAGCACAAAGTGGGCTCGTTTTGCAAGTACAAATGCAAACCAGGTTACCATGTCCCTGGATCCTCCAGAAAAGCAAGAAAGTACGTGCAGGAGTAAAGCCATGCCATCAGCATGATTCTGAAAGCCATGAGCTAAAATTATTTTGAGAAAGGGATGGGCTGTTTTAAACAGACTATGTGTGCTGTAGGGAATATCACTGAATATTTGGTGAGGTGCTGGCACAGGTTGCCCAGAGAAGCTGTGGCTGCCCCATCCTTGGCAGCGTTCAAGTCCAGGTTGGATGGGGCTTGGAGCAACCTGCTCTAGTGGAAGGTGTCCCTGCCCATGGCAGGAGGGTGGAACTGGATGAGCTTTAAGGTCTCTTCCAACACAAACCATCCTATGATTCTATGAACAATTATTTCATGCAGTTTCAAGGGGATTTAGGCACCTTCCTCACTTAGGTTTCCTTGAAAATCCTAACCACTGCTCAAAACCAGACCTTACCTTTGTAATACCCCTTTGATACGGAGCCTGGGGAGTCCCCTCTGAAGCATTACAGGAAAGAGTTGGTGCTATCATATGCTTCTGACTTTGCACAAACCCACTTCAAACCAACCACAGCCCACAAGCCTCTGAAGTAGAGTTTCTGGGATATGTGTCCAAGGCCAAAAGAGGAGTTTAAGCTGGACAGCTCAATATTGGCTTTGCAAATAATGATTATTTTTGCTCAGAGACTTCATGACGCAGATTCACAACTTGTTCCCCAAGTGTTAAAAGCTGAAGCACACGCATCCCCTGCAACCTGCTTGCAGAGCTGAGAGGCTTTAGAGGCTCCTAGCTGACTCAGCCACTCACAGAATGGTCTTGGTTTTTCCTGCACCAACAGGCGAGCCTTTAAGATCCAGTGCACACAGGATGGCACGTGGCTGCCGGGCGCTTGTGTGCCCGTTACCTGCGACCCTCCTCCTTCCAAGTTTCATGGGCTTTACCAGTGTACCAATGGCTTCCAGTTCAACAGCGAATGCTGGATCAAGTGTGAAGATGATGACAATCAGTCGGTGAGTCTCTCATGTCCAAGTTATCTCAGCACATACAAGTGTGGGTTTATCGTATGTTCCAAAAGGACTCTGATCTTGGAGGGACCCAGTGCCATTGAGCTCTTCTGAGACCAGAGACAGAGGAATGAAGAAGGCAAATATGTCATTAAAGTAGAGGGTGAGAGAGCTGCTGTGGAGAGCCTGGAAATACTGGTTTTATGATAGTAGTAACCAGTACCCATAAAGGACTAACAGTGAGTGACTTACTGTTTCTGGACAATAAGTGGCTGAAAAACCTGCCACAGTGGCTCTATGATCTAGCCAGAAAATAAGGAGTAATGAATGAAAGCAGGATATGAGTTACCCACACTTGTCCTGGCTGGTCATTCTGGTTTACCTTGATTTCTCTCCAATTCTCTTTTCCTATTATTATCATCATATGTTTAATATGGTAATTTAACTTTATAGGGATTACAATGATTCAGGTGAATTGTCTCTAAATTTTCATGTTTTTCTGGCTGTGAAGGTGTCATTTGGCATCAGGGGTCAGATCCTCATCTGGTGTTAATCAGAGTGTTGCCTTTGACTTCACAAAGCTGTGTTCATTGATGTGAGATGGTCTGGCCTTCAGTATGTCATTTGAATTGTTTAATTTTCCTCACCAGAGGTAATTATAGTTTGTGAGATAAGTAACTTCTGCCAGAAGTGCTGCCTCTGCTTAATACACTTGGGAAGAGAAAGTGGGGATATAGAAGCTGCTACATTGCAGAGAGTAGGGAGTGCTATGTTAAAGGCCTTTTAATATCATTCCAAGTTCTGAGGACATATTAACAAGGGACCAACCATGCCCTAGTGCTAGTGAAGACATCTCTGATACCTGCTCCAAACGTTAAAAGCCAGTTGCTGCCCCTGTTCCCTTCTGGGTTGGCCTGTCCTCTTCACAGGGACGACAGGCAGAGCCCTGGGGTTTTACATTAAAGGTTTCCTTGTATAAAACTTAGGTGAGGTTATGAGCCTGTGAAATGAGAAGCAGCACATGTGGGTGCAGTTTGGGTGGGAGCTCTGGGATACAGCATTTGTGGCTTTGTACATCTATCACCGGTCAGCATGGCTGGAGAGGTGTACCATTGCTGGCAGTGCAGGGAAACTGGGGCAGCAGTGTAATAACAGCTGGTATAATGGGTTTGTGTTTGCTGTTAAATGAACTGGACATGCAGAGGAGAAGGCAGTGGAATCAGAGTTACAGCAGTAAGGAAGTGGCTCTTGGAAAGTGAGAGATACGGCTATGTCTTTATTCACTGTAAGGAAGAGTGTAGTGACTGTTCAGCTGGGAAAGCACCTTGAGCAGAGGGGGCAGATAACATCTTGAGAAAGGGATTTGCAGAGAAAGGTATTTCCAGATATCCCAGAAAATAGACTGGAGAAAGGGGGAGGGCTCCTGGCACAAGCCAGAACCACTTGAGAGGTGTTAATTATTTAAGGATTAAACCCCACTAAGTCTCTCTCAGCTATATAAGGTGATAATGCACGTTGCATCCAAGTAAGAAACCCAGCAGGGATTTTCACAAGAGATTTTGCAGGTCAGGGAGTGATGGACAGGATGTTACTATAGCAATAGGTATCCTGGGATCTCAGAGTATGTTGCAGAAACTGTACAATAGTACCTTTAAACACAACCAGCTCCAGGAACTTAAATCAGGTTTCATGGCTCACCTTGAAAAACCATGCTTGAACCCTGGCATGCAGATTGCAATGGAAGTGCACCATGCTTGCTACCCCAGCAAATTGTGCTCAATTATCACTTAGCAATCTCTTCCTGAATTTGTCACCATGCTGAAAGATCATTACTCAGCTGTACATATGGCATCTCTTAATCACCAGCAACATAATGGTCATTTAAGCAGGTACCTCCGCTGGCACCCAGGGCAAGGGTCTTCCATTGGAGAATATGGTGCACAAATCATATGAACAGTCAGATCTAAATTAATCAGTCTCTGCCAAACTGGCCCTTAGGTGAGAATCACCAAGCTGGATCACACCCTGAGTCCATCTGGTCCATTATCCTTTCATATGATTTTCTTATTACTGCTGGCAATGGCCAGATGTCTAGAGAAGGGGAAGCAGGTCCCTCGCAGTAGTCTGCCGATGAGACCACTTTGCATCTCACTAAACACTGTGCTCATCAGCAAAGCTGAGCAAAGAAAGCGTTGGGATATTAAGGACAAGATTAACATTGAAGGCTGCTCAATCCTCCACGCATATTCCTGTGGCTTGTGCCGATCCTTGTGCAACAATGGGTGTGGGTCATGCGGAAGAGCTCCTGCGAAGAGTTCAGCAGCCCTGCTGGAATCCCATCATAGAGAGAACACTAAAGGATTCCCAGATACCCAACACAGTTTCCAAGAGCAGGGTGGGTAGGTTGCAGACAACATGCCTGACATAAAATGGGTGAGGAGAAGCAGAGATCGTGCATGGTTCTCCCACCCAGCAAGGCCCCTGCGGGAGGATTGGAGCCACACCAGACATCCTCCTGTTGGGTGTCCCGCATTACCCCGTGGCAGCTGGGCTCGCAGATCCTGCAGAATAGATTGTGCAGAAATCCCCAGTGCCATGAGGATAGATCTGACAAAAGATTGCCTGTGCACTCCTTTGTTGTTTCTAAAGGGCATGATATTTCCCCTCGGACTTTGGTATTCATTCTTCAGTATCATACGGAGAATCTTCTCTATAAGAGAAATGTCATATTGTATTCCTTGCCCATTCCCACGCCAGAGGATTTTTTTTCTCCTTTCCACCTGCCTCTGTGAGTGTCTGTCTCGGCCTCTTCTCTTGCTGTCACTCAAGGCAGCCAAGCTCTAAAGAGCACGTTCTGCCCTGCTAAGCATCCCTGCTCGTGTCCCGCTTTCCTTCCTCCTTCAGATAGCCATTGGGAATTCTTTCGTTTTTGAGACAAAGATGATGCAACCAGTTAGAAAATGGGAAGACGGAAAAGGTTGTCTGCATTCAACACAAACCTCTCAACAAGATAGAAGGCAAATGGAGTGAATGCACCTTTATCACAACTAGAGTGGGTCTATTTTAAGGTAGAGACCGTGCAAGGGCCTTGTAAAGACATTGCATTGCACACAAGAGAGGTGCGCGTGTATGCAGTGCAGGTTTGCTTCCTTTATTCTTTGGAAGAAGACTCCCTCTTGTCCCCCAGCACTGACATTCCCAACCAGGGACTCTTCCAGCTCCAGCAGAACTTTGCTTCTGGCTCAGGTTTGCCTGCTTCTCACTTCTTAGCCTGTCTTTGCTGTTGTTTTTGTGGCCATCCACATTATCTCCTCCTCTCATTCCAGGGCCGTGGAAGCAACGTGATTCACTGCCGAAAGGATGGCACCTGGAGTGGGTCCTTTCATCTCTGCAGGGAGATGCAGGGCCAGTGCACACTGCCCACACAGCTCAACAGCCACCTGAAGCTGCAGTGCGCCGGAGGCTACGGCATAGGTTTGTGAGCTCCAGCTCCTGCAGGATGCAGCTTGGGAGGGAGTGGGAAGCACAGGGACAGGAGTTGAGGAGGAAGATGGGAATGAGAGGGAGGAAGGAAGGAAGGATCTTGCGGTCCTTGAAGTCCTATGGTCCTGTTTGCCTGAGTGAGAGGCTGCTACAGGAGGCTTTACAGAGAAATGCTTTCAGGAAACATGAAGCTCTGCGAGGCCAGGCATCATGTTAACATGACTGCTGGCTCCTTGCAATGCTTCCAGTTTCATCATGTGCCTTCTTGGCCAGCTGGTTTTAATGGGCAGCCAGCAGGCCAGACCATGCCAGAAACACATCCAGTCCTCAAAATACAGGCAGAGAATGTACCTGTGTTTGCTCTTTTGTCATGTCCCCCTCCATCAACCACACGCACACATACACATGCCCCGGAGGCGGAAAGGCAGGAGGCTGGCAGGGAGGGTAATTCAAGTCTTTCCAGAAAGAATATGAGACCAGCTGAGCATCCCTTTTGGTATGACAGTTGATTAGGAGCTGCTGTAAGAGTATGTTTTCCCCTTTCTTTCTGGGATGCCTGCTCACCCTGCAAAGGGTCATTGACTTCCTTGCCCTCAGCCGTGCTTTGTGTCACCCAGGCAGAGGGAGGGGTAAGACTCCACACTGTACACACTGTATTGTATTTTCAGCCCCTGTTTTTGAGGTCTCCGTGCTGTAAAGGCTGCAACCCACACAGACCTCCGAGGCCCCTTCCTGCAGCCCCTCTCCCAGCCCCTGCCAGCCCCCTCCTCCCTCTGCCTGTCCCTTTGAACCTGGAGATATTTCCTTCTTGCGCGGCTCCCTCATTATATCGCAGCCATGCGAAGGGACCACGAGCCTGCTTGTGTTCCCTCCCTGGGGAGGAGAACACGACCTGGATGAGATCACCGCTCTGTAATGATGCCAATTACAGATCATATATCAAAACAATTCCGACCTGCTTCTTTCCCAGAGTGTAAGAAGCGTGGCAGGAGAGCGAGCGGCGAGCCCTGACTCTTAATGTAGAGAGGTGTTTTATCCTCGAGATGAGGTTACCTCCAACCTGGCCAGGGTTTTCCAAGGAGAGGAATACCAATTCCTGCTTTGGAGGGGAGCATCTCAGTGCTGGAAGCAGGAGGGTCTGCAGCTTCCCACCCAGTGGGTGCCTGACAGCCCTTGGTCCTCTTGCAAGTGTGGCTGTCAGGAGGTACCAGTCCGGCATGCAAGGTCTGGTGGGCCTGATTCTGGGATGGGACCACACAGCCGTCATGGAGGTGAGGGTCTCATGGGCTAAATCCTCCATAGGAGTGTGGCTCTTGCTGGAGAGGAAGAGCTCAGTGAGGGCACAGCCACCTTTGGCTCTTATCCTCAGCAGATGAGAGCATACCACACACTTTGATAGGCTCGCCCAGCACCACGTTTTGGGATCAGGTTGTTGGGTTTTCCTTCTCTTCTTTATCTTTTTGGAATCCTGGTCCATGTTCTTCCGAGAAGCTGTTTTCCTTCCACTCACTTGCAATGGGGGTGGTGTCAATGGGGCTCACCCAGCTGGTCCATGGAGCCACTGTCGCGTGCACTGGGAAAGCAAAACAAACCCCAAGTCCTCCCAATCTTCCTGGCTCAACAGCCCAGGTCTGCTCTGCTCCCAGTGACTCCTCCATGTGGGAGTTCCTGAGAAGTCAGAAGCAGGTGGGGAAAATAATAGCATCCAGTTATGGTCACTGTGAATCCCACACACCTTCAGTTATTCCTCAGACACCTAATCTGCCCTTCCAGGCTGAGGTGTGTGTTGAGCCAAAGGTTCAGCTCTCCAAACCAGTGTGGAGATTAATTCCTCCCCCAGCGCTGATTGGAGTGCAGAAATCCTAATGACATGTTTGCAGCAGCTGTGCCATTCAGGAGTGATTTTCCAGAGGGGAAATGGTAATGGTCCAACACACTAGGGCTTACGGTTGTGTCACCACAGGGCTCTGGGATATTGCTGGAGAGTATCGCAGCATGTTTTAATGAAGAAAGGACAGGATTCCCACTGGGCATGACAGTTAATCAGGGAAAAAGCAGGTTTATGTGTGAACAAAGCCATCATTACCTCTCCATGTACTTCTTATCGACTGTGGACTTAGGTGCTAGCTCGCCTGCAATGTTGTTAGGCTTGGGCACCCTCTGCAAGATGATTATTGAAGGTCTGTATATGTGACAGATCAAACAGTAGGTTTCTATCATGTCATAGGTGAGATGAGTTCGCCGGCCTCTGCTCAATCGATCCCATTGCTTGAAAGAGCAGTTGAAATGGAAAAACCTTCACATTTCCTTGATGATCTGAAAGTGCAAAACCTGACCCCCTTCTTGGAGTTAATAGCCAGAGATACGCAGCTCATACAGAAAGGCCTTGGAATATCTGCCACCCCCACGATCTGCTGAGGTGCAGGGCTGTACTCAGCATTTCGTGTGTGCCTAGAAGATATGTGATAGTTCTGGTTGACTGCTAATTGCAAGTTAGGAAAAATGAGCTGTAATCCTGTCCTTCAGCTGGAGGGATGCCGAAAGGGTCAGGAGCTGCTTGCTTTATCCTTTAGCCTTATCCTCACTGTGTTTCCTGCAGGCACGGAGTGTACCACTTCATGTCTGGATCACAGTCACGAGCCCATCCTCCTGCGTGTGAACGAGACCGTGCAAGACATCCAGCACTGGATGAACCCTCAAAGAGTGAAGGTCAGTGCCTGGCAATTTCACTACCTACATCCATTGCTGTGCGTTGATGTGAAGGGAGTGAACAGCATTACCTGTGGTTCATTCAGCGAGGGGAATGCAGGGTTAATTCTGCCCTTTAGAAAAGAATTCCTGATTTTTGTTGTGTCCTTACATGGTGTTCCAGTAATGTGGTGGCTTCCTCTCCAAGTTGCTTTCCCTCTATGATTTCCCAATGAAAGTCAGTTCAAGGTAAAGGCCCTAAATCAGTGTGCTCACATCCACCTGGCACCTACAGTGGGTCTGATTTGGAAACATGATTCATGACACAGGAAGACAGACAGAGAAAGGGCACTGGCCAGGTTTTATTTGCTTCCTCCCGTTCAGTATTTTGCTTTCCTTGGGTGGCAGAGCTGGATTTTTCTGCACTGCTTTTGGATGACAAAAGAAGCTGATACAGAGGGTATTTCATTTCCCGAACCAGCAGAGCTGGCTGAGTCCTTCCCCCCACCCCTTCGCCCGCATGCAAGAGATGCCTGCTCAGCACAGCCCCATCCAGAGGTCACCACTTCTTCCTCCTGCCTGCAGCAAGCACTCAGGCAGCATTAACCACTCATGGCACACCATCCTGCGCATCCTCCAGGTCTACCCTGATGGGGACATGCGCACCATGTACAGTGCCTTACACGCCCTATACACACAGGCCACCTGAAGCAAAGAGCTGTTTGGTTTCGTGCCTACACTTGGATACCTGTGGGAGACAATTGGATGCTGGTGGGAGACACTGGGGGACACACTCATCTACCTCCTCTTAAACCCCCTTCCTGCCATCTACACAAATGTGCTCTCCTGCCCCAAAATGCATGTAACCAGCACTTGTGCCTGCATGGCGTAGATGTTTATCTGGCCATGCTCAAGTGCATGTCAGAAGACACCAGCACATCCCATGTCACCAGGGTGCAGGTTGCTGGTGGTGCTTGAGCAAACACTTACTGGCTTTCACATACTTGGCCCTGGCTTTACAGGAGTCTGTTTTACACACTGCAACTCTCCATTTAGGAGACGAACAAGCAGCCAGCACAGCCCCAGCATGTTTTGAGCAGCTTTGACAGTCTATTTGCTTCTCTACATGCCTAAGTATGTACCCAGGGGTTGGGATTTTTGAAATCTGGCCTTGGCTGTGGGTTGTGAGCTGCTCTGAAAAATAACCACTTTATACTTCCCTGTTTCACACAGAGCAATAGAATAAATCCTGGAAAGCAGTGGGGAACCTAAGTCCAGAGAGCAGAACAAGTTTGCAGTGTCCTTCCCAGCTTCCCATTCACTCCAGATGCTGAGATTATATCATTGCCTAAGCCTAGGCTTTGCCAAGTTTCAGGCATGAAGCATAAAGAAAACCCCTATCTCTGTATTCGGGGCAATTTCTCACTGGTCCTTTCCCGAGTGCTAGACTTTAAAGTGGTTTTGTAATTCATGGTGAAATAAAGTGACAGCTTCCCTCCTGTTCTCTGCTGTGCTCCCTCGTTTATTGATGCGGGTGCGCAGAGGGAGCTGTAACGAGTTTTATACCTGCAGGTCTCTGGAGGGCTCATTAGGCAGCAGGGAAAACATAGAGTTGTAAAGGGGGAGATGAGGGGAGTGAGGGATGGAGGAGAAATCATGCTTTCCAAGAGTACAGTGGTAAATAAGACCTTTCTTGCCCTGATGGTGAGGATCTTGCAAGAGATTTAGGCTGGGAGCAGAGAAAAGTCTCACCCCACAAACAATTTGTAACTAGAGGGTGGGATTTGGGGTTGAAAACTTGTGTTGGGAGGTGGAGGGAAACCTTTAGGAGACAAGTGGGATGGTGCTGAGACATGATGGAAGGGATATTTTGGTAGCTGTATATCATCCATCTTCTTCAACTCTTCAGATAAGGGGATGTCATGCACAGCGAGTGGTACCTCACAGGGCAAATGCTGCTACCGGTGGGACTTGGGAGACCCCCTGGAGAGACAGGACTGGGATGCCTTAGGGGAAGGTCCCCATGGCAATGTGTTATATACCAGTAATAATAGGTGTCTCTGTTTATGGTCAGTGACAGCTTGCTGCTGTGCCATACAAGTCAAGGGAGCAGCTGGTTGTATTTACACGGCAAGTCTTTGTGGATCTCCAAGTACTTGAATGACACGGAGGAAACACTTCTAGTGACATAATTCAGGCACAAGTAATGTACAAATGAGAAGCAGATAAAGGCAGAACTGACCTATGGAGCTTACCTTTGAGAGGACAGGCACAGATAAAACCCAAGGAAAAAGAATAACATCTGTGTGTAGCTGCTCAGGCAATAGCTGTTATGGAAGCAAAGAGGGAAGAAGGAACCGTCTCTCCTCTGGGGGTTGTTTAGAGCAGAGCTGTGCAAATCACTTGCTTTTTCGGTTCACTCGAAGTTGTGTCAGATGAAGAAACAAAATGTTTTCTCTTTAATCAAGGGGCCTGGTTTGTTGTTGTGATTTTTTTAGTGAACCGAAAAATGGGAGGAAAAACCGCATTGGTTTGAACAGAGCGTGGCCGTTCATTTCCAAGGACTTTGGAAAAGGTTTTGTTTAATGAAAATGACAAAGAAAAAAGAAATAATTAGAAATTAAATGTCCTCTCAAAGGAACAACAACAACAGATCTTTCACTCCGAAGAACATCTGACAAACGCATACGACTGCAGAATTGGTTCAGGCCGAGTTGCTCTGTTGGATCTGAAGGAGTTTGCTGAAATCAGTGTACGTTGGCAGTGCCTTCTCAATCAGTGCTTTTAGCAGGAAAAAAAGAACCACCTGAAATCTTGTGGGTGTCTGTGCTTCTGCTGGAGGCTGTCTTCAGAGCAACCACTGCTGTTCCCATGATTTCCCATTAGCCAAGGGGCAGTGAGCTGTTGAAGACACCTATAGATAGAGCTGCCAGGACTGACTGTGCAGGCAGTGGAGAGAAAAAAAGGAAGCATCTCACAAAGACAGCTTGACAGCCCTTTCCTATTGACTGCAGAGGAACAGGGCAGACACTTAATTTCTTAGGTTGGCTGAATTTGGTTCCTTGCCTTTGTGCTGAGCAGGAACGGGCCAAACACTGCACAAGCATGTGCGTGCCTGGGGTGACCTGCAAAGGGTTGGCATGCCCCAGCTCTGCCTACCAGCAGGGTGAATGTGGCCATGGCTCCTCCACACTCTTGGGACACTGCACTACTGATGGTGATGTGTTTTCCCATATGCACCTCAAGCCCTGGGATTTCTGGATGCCCATTAATAGGAATTCTCCTTAAATCCCCTCTATTCATTAAAGCTTTGCAGTTTTCCTCCTTCCTTTCCCTCTCCCCTTTCTGTGACTGTTGGGCTTAATTTGCAGGCAGGGAAACTGAGTCATGGAACAGTGGAATGACTTACTGCAGCGGCTTAGTTCCTGGCATGTCAGGAGTTCCCACCCTGTCTGGAGCTACAAGAGGAAATAGCCACAAAACTCTGTGTCTCTTCTCTCTTGGCATCAGTAGCCGATCCCCTCACCACCGCCACTCGGTTGTCATGTTCATTTAGTGGCTGAGGAGAGAGTTAGCTGAGACCAGTAGATACCAGTCACTGTGCATAAGCCCTGGGGGACACTTGACCCATCTAAGGTGGAGGAGAGCTCTCCACCAGCCTCTCTTGGGGAAACCTAATCCCCTCCACAGCCCGCAAATGGTTGACATCATTGTGTTAGTCCCACCATGGGAGGGAAGCGCTGTGACTGGAGGCACTAGGTCTTCCCTCATAAGGAGTAAATGACAGCTTGATTTGCTTTCTTGGCTCTTTGTTACCTACTGTGGGAGCGCATCCTGGCTTCCTCTCCCCTCGCAGCAGATGGAGTCACAGCCAGCAAACCACAGATGTGGCTGGATGGCGTTTCTGGGATGGGGACACGACCAAAGTCAATAGAGCCGACTGCACAGCGTGGCCGATGCAGCTGCTGAGCTGCAGAAGCCGATGCACAAGGGGAGCTGGGGCCATGAGGGTAGCAGATGTCACCACAGTGGCAGCAAGGGGAAGGGATGGGGCTGGCAGAGGAAGTGGCCAGATGGGCTTTATTCCCTGTGCACCTCCTGGCACGCATCGGATGTGGTCCTTCCATCCACCTCCTTCCATCCAGCATCCTTTGTTGACCTTGTGAGGTCAGCTTCCTTTCTGTGTGCACTGACACCATCAGATCCTGATCATGTCCCTCACAAGTGCCACCTGTACCCTTCTTTGCATGCTCTGTATATATTTATTTGTCTCAGTTGCCCCATCCAGTTGCTCTCTATGGCACCTTGTATGCCTGTTTGCACTGCAAGAGACAGGAACAATGCCCAACAACCCAAATCATCCCCAGTTTCTCAGTTTCCCAGCCCAGTCTCTCCCTCTGCCCACACCTTTTCCCATCCTCTTGCACTGCACACACCGCAAAAGCAGCCTGAGAGTACAAACAGGCTTGGTGGTAAGAGTTCAGGGTTTGGAAAACCAACAAGAGGAGTTGGGACCATGGCCATTCCCTGAGCATACTCTGCTTCCAGCTCCATTAATTAGCATGAAGTTAGCAGGATTGAATTCAGCTGGAATAGCTCTAATGGTCTCCATTAGCAAAGCTTTATCCAAGGAGAAGGCAAAGTAACTGGGACTAAGCTGATGACCACTGAAGAGCAACGTGAATGTCCCACTGATCCAGTGGTTAATCTAGCATGAGGTCAGTTGGCTTTCCTGTGCTATGGAGAGCAACTTGGGGCTGCATTCACATTCCCTGGGGGATGTCCAGCTGTGCAGCCCTTGGGATTGAGGATAATCTTAAACAAGAGCGCTGTCCTAGCCCAGACTTCACTTTCCATCCATTCCTCTAAGGGAGGGTGCTGGGGTTTTAATACTGGGAGGGCATAGAAAGTAGTCAGTCCATCCTCTGCAAGGGATTGCTGGAAACCTCCTCTCTTCAGAGCCTGTTTCAGCGCTACCTAGCTGCTTTTGTTAACTCCATGTGCTCACACACATTCACACATATTGAGAGGTTCTGTAAATATTGATGCTTCTTACCAGGGGAATGTGAGATGCTCTTTGGAAGTGCACTTCTTATTGTCTGCCTGGCCTTGGATACGGGAGGCAACCGCCTGAGTTTTTCCACTTTGTTTTAATTCCTGGTTTCAAATGCTCTTGAACTGCTTCCTTTACTCTTCCCCCCTCCCTGCCTGTTGACTTGCCTTGTTTATTTTGAAACCTAGAAAAGTTTCCCTTCTTTTCGCTGTGAAATGCAATAAACAGAAGAGGGGGAAAAGAATCCGACTAAAGCCTTCACCATTTGTGGCAGGCAACAGCCTGGAAATCTCCAGCTGTCTGTCGGGAGCGTGCTGGGGGAAGGTCTGACACTGCAGGGCCCCCGCACCTTGCAGCCTGCTTCCCGAGGGATAAACAACATCCTCCCCCCATTCCCGGCCGCTTCTCCGCTCACACAGACGGGCCCTGTTGTGAGGCAGGTGGGGCAAGCCGGGCTTGACTAATAGTGGAAAATCCAAAAGCATCGGAAAGATAAACAGCCCCAGTCAGATAGTATAAAAGTCCTTTCTCTAACCCACGCCAGGTAAGCCTCAAATGACAGAAACTGTAAAAACATGCTGAGGTTCCCCTGCAGATGGATTAAATTAGCCCTCAAATAAACAGGGGAAGGGATGGCTTGTGCGTCAGGTCTTCCCAAATGTTAATCCCTTTCCTTCCCCAGGCCTCCATCCAACCCTGACCCCTGGCTTTGGGTGAGCACCTATGTGTTCATCTTGCCCAAGTGGACACTGTAGCGTTCCATCCGTGGATGATAACCCAAAATGAACCTGTGATGATATCCTGGTGAACGGATGGGAGTCCTCTCTCCTAGACCTCCATGGTATAGAAGCACCAGCTCCACTGTCACCTCAAACTTTTCATCCCCTCTTAAAATCTAGTTTTCCATGTCCAAAGGCAAACAGTGTCTACCTGGGGTATGCAGTCATTTCAGTAGGTTGGTCACAATTTTAACCCCAAACTAAGCACTCCAACTTTCTTCTTCTAGAAAATCTATAAAGAGAGTTTATACCGGAACGATAAAGCTCATGAAATGTAGCAGATGATGCTGTCCTATCTGGGAGTTATTCTGAAGGTGTGTAGTGGGAGGTGCTTTTATTTAAGATGGTGCGAAAATGTATCTGAAAGTTGACCTTTAGCTGTTTCCATCTTCAGGAAGCACAGGTCTGATGGGTGAAGGAGAGCAAGGCTTTGCAGCACCAAAGAACCCAAAGAAATCCCCTCCTACCCAAGAGCAAGACAGCGGAGCTGTGCCTTTACCTTTCGCTGCCACGTTCCCCCACCATGAGTGAAATATTGGACATGACATTTTCAGAGAACCTTAAATATTATTTTAATCTCGAATGTTCTGTTATTGCAAGTGTCAAGTCCAACACTTCTTGTAAATACCTGGAGGACAGCCAGGTCCTGAGAACACAAGAGGTGTTAGGAACTGAACTTCATTGGTTAAGTATAGGAGAGCCATAGGAGCCCAGCGCACTGGCTTTCTGTACACTGATTTCTTTGTCTTAACCTGTTGGGTTTTTTTCTTCTTCCCTCCAGAGTGTTGTCTGCACGGCGGGACTCAAGTGGTACCCCCACCCTTCCCTGATCCATTGTGTCAAAGGCTGCGAGGTGAGCTTTCACGTTAGCTCAGGTGGTCCATGCTTGCTCCCCCAAACGTTCTGGTAACCATCACTGCAGACACATGGTCGGTAAATGCTGGTTTACAAGTGGGACAAACAGGCTTTTGCCCTGACTATGTCAGACTGTGGTTGCCTGCATTAGTTTGTACACTCAGTGGTGAAATTGGTGGTTTCCCTAGAGCCGATGGTTGGGTGACTCTCATGGGAGTTAAATGATCAAGGAGCTCAATAACATTGGTAGACCATCAAAATTACCCAGGATCAGGGAATTTCTGGGAAGTTGCAAAAACCTTCAGATGTTTTTCCTTGATTTTGACATCCTATTAGAGGGCTAGTTCTTCCCAAGCCCATTTAGGCTTTGAGCATTGGTGATACCACTGGGTGGATAGTGAGGAAATCATAAAACCCTCCACTGTGCACTTCTATCTGAACCAGAAAAAGTCCCAGGCATATGCAGTTTCATTTGAGCTGTGATACATTTTGAGAGTCTTGTGTGTTATCTGAAAAAAACAATTATATTGAAGGATGTTGTTTCTGCTGGTAACAAAAAAGTCTGAGAAGTGTTAAGATGCTTCCAGCGGTTAAATGGGGCTAGAGCATCTCTCGCTGGGTCATGGCGCTCATGTGGTTTCCATCATGCCCTTGAGTATCTCACCCATGTCAAGAAGTCGAACCATAGAATAGTTAGGATTGGAAAGAACCTTAAGATTATCTAGTTCCACCCCCCGCCTTGTAGTACGTCTGTGAGGCTGGGAAGCTCCATGTCCATTGTAGAATTGGGGTAGCTCATAAGCAGAAGGGTAGATGGCTGCTTCAGGTCCGTGGGCAGTGGAAGAGCTGTGTCTTGACCTCCCACCTCCTGACTTTCTGCAGCACTGACTGTGTTCTCACCACCCAGTAACCCAATTTTACAAGCGCTTTAAAGTTATTTGCCTGGAGTGGCAGAACATGGCACAGAATTCCTAAATTCGACACAAAACTCTAGACCACATTGCTGCGCGACGTGATTTGTCTTGAAGTGAAAGACAGGTTTCCTTCGCATACAAATGTTGGGCCCAAGAGGGTAATAACTCTCCAACAATGTAATAGTTTCTGTCGAGTTGTTCCCTAAATGAAAAGCATTCTGCTGTCAGTGCTTTGAATGTCATAAGCCATCTCAGGCATTGCATTCATGCAGGCTGGCTAGGCGCCCCTATTCTCCAAAGAGAGCTAAAATAACATCCAGCAACCATTAAGAAATGCCATTCAGGTGCTGATGCACCACTGGGTAGCCATTCTCCTGCTGGTTAAGGATAGTTGTTACTGAGGCAAAGTTTGCAATGATGTAATAATTTACCAGAAGCCATTATTACTGACATGCTTTTTCTCAGCGTTTTCTTCCCTTCCATCATTGTTAATTGCCAGACCCCACTGCATCAATAGGAACTTTCTTCTTTTCATCATTCATTCAGCAGTGTCACTGCATCCCAATCTATCATCTTGGAAGGCTTTGCCCAGACAATTGATAATGGCTTCTAGCATCATTTTTAGAGCCTGATGCTTCCAGGAGCTGCGAATGGGCCAGAGCTTGTTCTCTGGCATTGAAATACCATATTCATCAAGCCTTTTATTCATGACTATGGAAATAGGGACTAATAAGCCAGTAGGTCAATTATACTGGGCCATTAAGCTGATACAATCTCTTATATATTAATATCCTCGGCATTAGGGAGGGTTCCCTGAACAGAAGGCTGTAAGCGGGGCATTACTTTACTCTTGGTGGTCACAGTGGTAACCCAGACTCCTGCTGCAATGTGATTTTTTGTCGCTCCCTAGTGGCAGGAATAGAGGTTTTTTGAGTGAGCCCCGTACTCCTCGGCAGCTAATTTAGTTGTCTCAGTAGAAAACCAGCCCCTCTGGGCTACCTGTGTAGTCCTCCAAAAGTACAGGAGCACTGTGATAGGCATGAAGCCCTATAAAGACTTCACCCTCCACAGCCTCCAAGGTCTCCCGAATGAGGATTTTGGTACCACAGCAGAATAGATGCTGTTTGTCCCATTCTTCTCCTCCAAAGGACTCACTCGCCTACTCTGTGCCAGTGAAAGGCAAATTTTTCCACATATTTCTTTTACTGATTTTTCCAGTGTTCATAGGTGTAGGATATAGGCATGGAAAATTAAAGTCAAGCCTTTCTTGACAAGCAGGCAGAGCCAGGCAATACAAGGGAAACATGGAGAAACCTACACAATTTCCTGGGAGGTTGGACAAAGTTTGTATTTTTGACTATGACCAGGTTGGCATAAAAATACCTCTCCATTTACTTATAAATCATTCCCTTTTAACTCTTAGCAGATGAATTAAACTGGAAGGATGTTTGCAAGTCAAAGTCTTTGCCTGTATAAAGAAGTCAGTCTCTGTGGAAGTCACAGTGGAGTTAAGCCAGGTTATAGGGATAGGAGCCTCACCCTGTAACTCTGAATTCTTGGTCAGCATCTATAGTATTTGCACATAGCTAAACAAGTGACATGCAATGAGTCTGTCCCCTCCTGGTAGTCCTGCTGTGGTCCATCATTGCCTGGATTTCATGTACCCCAATAGGAATACTTAAACCTGCAAAACATGAGCAGCAGCAATAGCATGCATTTACACCACTGCAGAGGGTCCATTGCTCTACTGATGAGCACAGCCATGGCTCTGTCTGGGGAGAGCCATGGTTCTCATGGCTGGTTCTTCAGATATCTATCATAAGGGAGACTTTGGTACTGCAATTGCTGCAGAATCCTCCCAGGAAGCCTCCAAAAGGCTCCCCACCTGCTCTGCAATGATGCCTTCTTGTAGGAAAAGTCCCTGGTGTGCTTTACTCAGTGCAGCATAAATGAATTTTCCAAAGAGCAGATAAAATGGGAATGGCCCCATGAGCCCGTGCATGTAAGACGTATTACAGATATGACTGTGCTCTCTGCTGAGCATCCGCTTCTCTGAACTTTCATTGCTTCCTGGGATTCTCATCCCTGGCAAAGGCCTTTTTGAGCATCAGGCACAGTTTTAATGTCCAGGAAAGACTTCTGTACTCGCTGACCAAGAGGGCTTCGAGCCTTTTTGTTAGAACTGTGATTATCATTCAGGTCCTGTGCAGCGCATAGACCTAGTGATCACATTGCACAGACTAGTGACCACATTTTCTTTTCCAAAGTGATTTATGAATTTTACTTAATAGCTCTCCACAGCATCCCTCTGAATGATGGCCATTATCCCAGCTCTGAGCTGTGGAGCAGAGGAAGATGACGTGTCATGGCCAAGGTCATGTTGGGTTACTGGTGGTCAGAGAATGAGAACACATGGTCCCTGCGCTGAGCTCAGACCACTTCCATTTCTCTTTGTGATATGTTTTGTGCCCTCATTGCTGACACATGTTGCATAGTTAGGAGAACTGTGGTGCAAAGTACAGCTATTAAAAGCAAGCCAGTTTTGCTGTTATACATAACCTTCTTCCTATCCCACATAGTTTTGGAAGGTTAGCTTAAAATTATCAAAAGGTGCCACAATTTTAGATGCCTTGATGCTGTCTCTGGGCCTAGTCACATTAATATTCCTGAAGCATCATCTTATGTGGGATGTGAAAAGCCAACAAGGGCTCATTTCCCTTCCATCTAGTGTCCTTTTTTTCCTCTCTGTCTGCTTCGAAGGGAGAGGGAAATAATTCTCTCTTGCTTTTCAGGGCAGTTGATAATGTTACAAACTCTATAGCTCCTTCAAGTTGCTCGTTTTCCTTCTGACATATTGTTGCACGGTTTATTCATGTCCACGCTCTCAGCCTTTTTCTGCTTTTTCCTTTTCAGCCTTTCATGGGGGACAACTACTGTGACTCCATCAACAACAGAGCCTTCTGCAACTATGATGGTGGGGACTGCTGCGCCTCAACAGTCAAGACCAAAAAGGTAGGGATGCCCTTCCTTTTTCCACTGGGAATTCCTTCCTGAGCACTGCTTTGTGCTTGGAAAAGAATTGTTTTTGCTAGGACAAAGGAGGTCCAAGGTCTCAGAAGGACCTTCAGTCCAGGCATCAGCTTATAGGCACTGGGTTTTTGGTCCATTTTGAAATCCTCTCTTGATATACATGTGTGTTTCTCATCATAACCCACCTTATACCTGTGCAAGGCAGGTTCTGCAATAGTCAGTGGCATTCATTCATTCTTACTGTAATTAAACCTTAGCTTCTCTATAGACAAAGGCTAGCTCCCTTCAAAATCCATCAGCAAAGCTACACCTACTGCTCAGGAGCCCTTCATACAGAAACACTGACAAGGGTATATTTGCCTGTCCTGATATCCACTCTCAATGCTCAAAATGGAAACTAAAGGTTAGGAGTCATTAGGAAAAGAACAGAGAGCAAAATGAAAGCATCACTGTAGGTCTGTACTTTGATCTCTATGTATCCACATGCACATGGCTCACTGTTGACCATCCCATCTCCTAAAGGACAGAGTGGGACAGAGAACGGTGGGGAGGAGGGCAGCAGGGCTGAGTAGAGATGTGTAATATCTTCAGCACAGATACCACATAGACCAGGACCTGCTGCCCTTTCAGAAGAGGCAGTGGGCATGGTGAGTAGCAGAGATTCATAAAAACATTACCTAATGCAGGGAGGAAAATAAACCCCAGTGTTTCTTATCACACAGCAATGAGGGGGTGAGCTAATACCTAAAAGCAGGATCTAAACAAATGAAAGGCATTTCTTATTCACACAATGTGCATTTGAAGGATGGGATACATTGCCAGTAAGTCACTAAGACCAAAATTATATTTGAAATCAGAGAATAAGTATGTTTGCAGAGGTTACCTCCTTCAGTGGCCATTAAATCCTCTGATCTGGATGCAGTTTCTGGCTCAGGACTATCTAAACCATTGACTGCTTTAGCCTGAGGAAGGATCCCTCCATATAGCCTTTGAGTTTGTGCTTCTTTAACACCCATTTCTGGCTACTTTTAGAGGCAGTGACTGAAGCAGTGAAACCTGTAGTCTGAAGCAATACAACATTTCATGTGTTTCTAAGCAGGATAGATTTTAAACTTGTTTCCCAAAGAAAGGAAAGAAAAGCTTAGCTTCTGTCATGTGAGATTTTTACCTTGTCTTCAAGACTTGAGTGTGCATCAGAGTGACAACCCAGCTATGTTAAGTATCTGATATATATGGCTAACACTTCAAATCTTCAGGGAGCTTGGGCTCAGCAGACATCATTCATTTCACTTATCTGAGGAAGAAGCTCCCCTCTACCACAGCTGTGGGAATGAAGATGTCTCTGCAGGGAACAGTCCTATCTAAGACAGCTTTAGCCAGAAGCTTCTTTTCCTTGGTTCCACCAAAGATCTCTTACCGGGGAGCTCTGTGGGCTATCTCTGGCCCATGTGGGAACACTGAGATAGGGAAGTGGACATGTCTTCCAAGTGGAAGGAGTTCATTTCTCCACTGGGGAAGAAGTAGTTTTCCTAAACATGCCTTTTTGGACAAATTTCCCCTGTGTTACTGTGTTTCTTTCGCAAGCCACGTGCTGGGAGGGAAGCAGAGGCAGATGAGCTTCTCTGTTCCCCAAGGATGGAGTAGAGCATGGAGATGGCACACAGGGCTCCCTGCTGAATCCACCACTGCAGAGACGAGCAGGGTGACAGGCAGCAGATTGTCTTCAGTGCCATCTCCAAAAAGAGATTCCCATCTCTGGCTGCTTTTCCACCTCCTTGGGAGGAGCAGCCCAAGGGCAATCTCAGCTTGCTCACTGACCTCACAGGCCCACCAGCTAGGAGGGCAGAGCTGGAAGTGGCCGGTAGCTCAGCATGGGTAGGTCTTCTCCTCCAACAACAGCCTGCCTGGGAAACTTTATCTCGCTGCCTTCAGGCTTGAGGATGAAAAACCCCAAGTGGTGCCAGAGGAATGGAACTGAGGTGGCTGGGATGGGACCGACCCAAACCAGCCCCATCAAGACAAGAGCTGAGGGCACAGTGTATCACAGGGGTGGGGATGGGACTGAAACACGAGAGTTGTGAGTGCCGAACTGATGGGGAAACGGATAGGATTAAGGTTTGGAATAATTTATTACTGGGTAGAGAATTGAGACAGAGTGGGGTCTGTACAGAGTTATGAGCACTTACCAGCCAGGCGAGTCACTCTCAAAGTATCTGGCTGCTTCACTGCCACCCAGAAACCAAGTGACCACCCAAGAGGGGGAAAGCACTTTGTAGCCCACTTGGTTACTGGTTTCTGTGTTAAACATGCCCAGTGCAAAGGGCAAGTGGTTCAGAGACAGGCAGCTGGTCACACATCTGATGGGTTTCCTCATAGAGAGGGAGGTTTTGGAGGTAAGTCTTAGGTCTTCTTCGACTGACTTCACTGGGAGCTGTATCCTTGTGACCAGGGGAAATGGAGTGACCCTGTGTTGTCCTTTAGAAACACCCATCCTAGGGATCACGTGGGTTGAGGGCTGAACCACAGAGCTCATTGCTTTCTTGGCAGGCATTCAACTCCCCAAATCTCTCTCCCAAAATACCTAACACCATCCCAGGAGCTGAACAAAGCTCTCAGGAGAAGCGAGAAAACCACCTTCTCCTCAGACCTTCCATGCCAAAAACAAGATGCTAAGTCCCAGTTTATTACATTTATAAGGTAAAGGGGGGAATAATAACCCAAGCGGGTCAGAGCCGAAGAGGCAGCACCTCTCTGCCTGCAAAGCGGCCGCCGCCACCTGCGGCAGCAGCCCTGGGGCTCGGCTCTGCGAGTGATTTTCCCGTCTGAGGCCTTTGACTGAGACCAGATTTCAGGCCAGGCTGTTCAAATACAGCCCTCCCTTTGAAGAGGTTTATGAGTGGAGTGTTACAGGAGATATTCCAAAGGGAAAAACAATGAAAGGTGAGAGAAAAGGGAGCTGAATAAAAATACTCCGCATACCAAATCCTTCCAGCACAGTTTGCCACCTACTTAAAAAGGCACAGTTTTAAAATACACGTTGGGTGTAAAAGCCAAAAACCTGGAGGAGACGTAGGGAGGGGCGAGTCCAGCTCTCCTAATTCCAATACCAGATGAGGATGTATTTTCATTCGGTTGTAGAAAGAGCGAGACACATGAAAGAGCCTGCTTTGCTCCTTTCCTTTCAGGGTTACATACTATGTGGCAGATGTGTCAGTCTTTTAAAGCCCCTGCAAGTTTACCCATAAATGTCTAACATTTATGCAACACCTGTTTTTCTCCCGAAATGTCACAGGACATTTTACAAGCTTGAGATTTATCATCTTTTCACCGTTGCAGCCATTGCCGCGGTGACACATGGTTCACATTTAAACAGAACATTGCAACTCCACACATTATTTTAGGAAAGGGCTGAAGATTAACATTGCATCATGTGAAGATTCAGGAGTTAACAGCCAAGTAAAAGCTGGTTGCAGATCTTTAATGTCCGCGAACTGTCAAGACTGAGTTTCACTGCAATCCCACCACCCTCCCAAACGCACTCTCAGCTGCACACAATGCTGTGAACCAGGCTGCGTGAAAGCAAAATTACTCCTCAACCCATATTCACTTCCATGCTGAGCCTTCTTATTTCATTTGCACGCTCCTGTTTTGTTGCCCTGAAAATCCACCAGGGACTTCCATGGAGGCAGTCGCTTAGGCCATGTTTTCCCTTTGCATTTGAGCATTAGCAGCAAATGACCTTGTGCATTTCTGCAGCGAGAGGGGAACAGAGCAGTGTGACTTATCTGACCAGCTGCCGACTAATCAGCACTGCTGCTTAGATAGGGAATAATGAGTATTTGCCCTGTGCTATTCACAATCGGGCTAGGGAGCTTAAAAGAAATCATTAAAGCTCTCTTTTGAATGCTACAAATGGCAGCGAATAAATTCACTTATATTCTGGGCATAAACTGGAGGCAGCCGCAGTCAGCAAGCGGGAAAAAGAGACATTCATCAGCCTAATTATTTGTTGGGCGCTAATTGATCAGCATCCCCCTGCAGTGGGAGGGAAGCCAGGGCTGGCCCAGGGACAAGTGCCACCCAAGGAAGCGGGGACACGAGTCCTGCAGTGCCTCATGGGGCAGGTGGGGAGCATGGGGCCAGTGTTTGGGTTTGCAGATGGGGCAGGGGACGGGGCTGCGCTGCTCACAGCTTGCCCTGTGCATGACCCAGGAGCAGCTTTGAGAGACAGGAAGGCCATTGCCGGCCAGCCTCCAAGGGAGAGAAAGCTTCTGTTGTGTATCTGGAGGGGATAAAGTCTTCCATGAAGGACAAAGCAAAATCCCATCTCCTTTTAATCTTCCTACCCTCCTGACCCAGCACAGGTTGCCAGCTCCCTTTTGCCTGGCTGCTCTAGGAAGCTGCTTCTTGCTTTGTATCCTGCCACAGATAAAAGAAGATGCTGGTTTTTAAAACATTAAATACGTGACACTGCTAAAGTGGGAAAAATAAATAACTTGGGCATAACTGGCTCTCACTGGGCTGGCGGCTGCCTGTGAGTTGCTCCTGGGGTGTGTGGTTGCAGGGAGAGAGGCTATGGCTATTTCTTTCTGATTCATCTCAGGAAATCTCTCCAGTCACTGTTCTCCTTCACTTCTTTTCTCTTCCCATTCCTTTTTACAAGTTTTCCCTGGACAAAGCTGTCTAGAAAAGCCTTGCAGAAATGGAAATGTCTCTCTTTAGGCCCTGCTCACGTACATTGTTCCAGGCTTTAAGCAAATCACAGATTTGCTTAAAATCTGATCCCTGAAGATTTAAACCCAAGAATTTTGCTGGTTTAAAATCCCCCCAAGTTAAGCCATTTGAAAAGGTGAACTTTCATCTGTCTTTCCTCTCTGCCTTCCCTTTTCGTCACGGAAGGGGTAAACCTACAGCTCCCATGAGAAAAACCTGTCTCAGTCAGTTATCACCCAGGTTTTCCCTCAACCACTTTGCCCCATAGC